TGCATGGCTTCCTCCCTTACGCCCCTCTAGCTTTCCTCAAAGGTCCCCTCCTCAGAGAGGCATTCCCTGACCACCTTATTTAAATGTAATACTGCCTGGGCAGGCTGAATAATGATCCCCAAAGACCTCGAGGCCCTGATCTCTGGAACCTATGAATGTTCCCTTATATGGCAAAAGGGACTTGGCAGGTGGGGTGAAGTTAAGGATCTTGAGATATCCAGATATGCCCTAAATGTAATCGTGAGTGTCCTTATAAACGGAGATTCGACAGCAGGACAGAAGCAGAGGCAATGTGACACTGAAGCAAGATGCTAGGCTGCAGGCTTTGAATACGGAGGAAGGGAGCAGAGCCAGGGAATGTCAGGAATGCAGCTGAGAAGCCGGAAAAGGCCAGGCAGGAACCGGATTCTCCCTCACAGCCTCCGCAGGGAGAGCGGAGGGCGGCCCCGCCAACACCGTGATTTCAGCAGGTACAGCAGCCACAGAAAACGAGTACGTCTCCCATTTGGGCACAATATATCTACCTCTCCTGCTTTAGTTTTTTCCATCACAGTGAGCAGCATCTGATACAACGTATTTCTTGTTTGTTACTTTGTTTATTGTCTGTCTCTTCCACTAGAATGTCAACTGTACAAAAGCAGGAGCGCTTTATAACTGTTTCTTAAGGACAATTTCAAACGGACACAAAAGTGGAGAGAATAGCGTAATGAAGCCCCATATAGACTCAGCTTCATCACCATTCAACTCACAGCTGATCTCGCTTTGTCTACACCCCAACCACTGCTCCTCTCATCAGCGGATTATTTTGAGGCAAATCCCAGACACTGTATTAGTTCATCCAGAACTATTTCAGAAGGTATCTCTAAACGTAAGGACTCTGTAAAGCCAACCACAATATCATTAGCAGACCGCAAGAGGTAGTAATAATTGCTTAATAGCATCAAAGGTCCAGACAGTGCTTGAATTTGTGGGCAGGGGCCTTTGTCTCCTTGTGCACTTGTTCTCCTTTGCTACTTTATGTGGCAAAAAGGACTTTGCAAAGGTGAGTAAGTTAAGGATCTGGAGATGGGGAGATTACCCTGGATGATCTGGATGGCCCAGTGTCCTCACAAGAGTCCTTACAAGTGAAAGAGGGAGGCAGGAGAGTGAGAGCCAGAGAAGGAGATATGACAATGGAAGCAAGAGACGGGAGCGATGCAGGTACCAGCTTTGAAGATGGAAGGGGCCATGAGCCAACGCATACAGGCAGCTTCTAGAAGCTGGAAAAGGCAGGGAAAGAAATCTTTTTCCCTGGGGTCTCCAGAAAGGAACTCAGCACGGCTGACACCTTGATTTTAGTTCTGTGAGACCCGTGTTCTCCAGGCTGTAAGATAATGCATGTGTATTGTTTGAGCCTCCAAGTTTGTGATAATCTGTTACAGCAGCAATGGGAAACGAATACAGAGTTTGGTACTGGAAGTGGGGTGCTGCTGTCACAAATACCTAAAAGTGTGGAAGTGGATTTGGAACTGGGCCATGGGCAGAGGCTGGAAGAGTGTTGAGAAGATGATGGAATTAGCCTAGATTGCCTTGAACACTGTTAGTAGAAATACGAATGTTAACAATTCTGCTAGTGAGGACTCGGAAAGAAGTAAGGAGCAAGGTAGAGAAAACCTCTATCCTCTTAGAGAATACCGAAATTGTCATGAACAGACTGCTGCTGGAAATCCACGCGGCCTCTAGAAACTGGAAAAGGTGAGGAAACAAATTGTCCCCCAGAGCTTTGAAAGGAACACAACCCTAACAACTCCAAGTTTGTGTTTAAGCCACCAAGTTTGAGGTCATTTGTCACAGCAATAATAGGAAATTAACATATCTCTGTTATGAGAAAGAGAGACCAGACTAGTGTAAACATGTACAAAATAAAGAAACCCAGAAGAAACAAACATTATACAGGAGGAAAGAAGAAAGCTACAAAACAAACATAAAAACACATGCAACTGAAATTTTTTTTTAGGTATGCTTTTTTTGGTGAGGAAGATTGGCCCTGAGCTAACATCTGTTGCCAATCTTCCTTTTTCTTCTCTCCCCAAAGCTGCAGTACATAGTTGTCTATCCTAGTTGTAAGTCATTCTAGTTCTTCTACGTGGGACGGCACCACAGCATTGCTTGATAAACGTTGCCATGTCCGCGCCCAGGATCCGAACCAGCAAAACCCTCGGATGCCAAAGCAGAGAGAACAGACTTAATTACTTGGCCACAGGGCCAGCCCCCTGAAATGTAGATTTTAATGGAAGGATTAGAAGATAAACTCAAGGAGACTTTCCAGAAAAGGAAAATCGACAAAGGGATGGAAAATAGTCATGAAAAGATAAGAAAATTGAAGGCTCAACCCAGAAGATCCAACATCCAAATGATAAAAATTCTAGAAAAAGAGAGCAAGAAAATGAAAGGGAAGAAATCAACACAGACATAAACAAGAAAATTTTCCAGAACCAAAGGGCCTGAATCTCCATACTGAAAGGACAGACTTAGGGTCAGAATGATTAATGAATAAAGACTACAATAAGGCAACTCATCCTGAAATTTCAGAACCAGAGAAAGAGAGAAGATCCCAAAAGCTTCCAGAAAAAAAAAAAAAAAAAGTAACTCAAATACAAGTTCAAAAGAAAAGGGAGAATGGAAGCAAATCTGAGGGAAAAAATAAAGCAAGTAACCCCTGTTTTCCAAACTTGCATTCCAACTCAGGAAGCAAAGAGATTCACATCATAAGGGATATTTCTATTTCCAACCTAGACTTTTATACCCAGCCAAACTATAATAAAGCGGGAGGGTAGAAGGAAGATATGTTGAGTTGCACAAGAACTCAAAAATATTTACCTCCTCTTCACCCTTTTAAGGCATCAACTGGAGGACGTGCTCCAGCAAAACGAAGAGGCAACCAAGAAAGACAAAGTCATGGGCTCCAGGAAACAGAATCCAACTCAAGGACGTCCCAGGATAGCTAAGCTGAGGCCTAGAGAGCAGGAAGCCCCAATTCATGGAGGAGAGAGGAATTCAGGAGGGAGGAAACAATTTGAGCGTACTGTTAGGGGCACGGAATATCCAATGGAACACTTGAAAAATAGTAAGTACAGGTGCATATGAAATTAAGCAAGTGACAAAGGTAATTATTAATTCTCAAAAATCTGTCTGTGTAAGAGAGAAAATTGTAGTACGTTACGTGGCTCCACAGTGAAAATGAAGGGGAAGAAATCAACACAGACACATGCAAGAAAATTTCCCAGAACCAAAGGGCCTGAAGCTCCAATTGAAAGGACATAATTGCAACATTATAAAAACTATTGATTGATATAAAAATTATAATATGAGGAGCCGGCCTCATGGCCGAGTGGTTAAGTTCGTGTGCTCTGCTTCAGCGGCCCAGGGTTTCGCCAGTTCAGATCCTGGGTGCAGACACGGCACCGCTCATCAAACCATGCTGAGGCAGCATTCCACATGCCACAACTAGAAGGACCCACAACTAAAAACACACAATTATGTATCAGGGGGCTTTGGGGAGAAAAAGAAAAAATAAAATCTTTAAAAAAAAATTATGATATGATTTTGTTGGGAAGGGGGAAATGGGATTAGCCTAACAGAGCTCAAGCATCATCTACTGTACCAGGGAGTCAGTAGAGAATGTCTTCAACAGATAAGTCAAGAAGTAGCAATGTCTGGGGTGGGCCTGGTGGCACAGAGGTTAAATGCACACGTTCCACTTTGGCGGCCCAGGGTTCGTCAGTTCGGATACTGGGTGCGGACATGGCACCACTTGGCACACCATGCTGTGGCAGGCGTCCCATATATAAAGTAGAGGAAGATGGGCACGGATGTGAGCTCAGGGCCAGTCTTCCTCAGCAAAAAGAGGAAGATTAACGGCAGATGTTAGCTCAGGGCCAATCTTCCTCAAAAAAAAAAAAAAAAGAAGTAGCAATGTCAACATATTATTTAGAGACATGAAAGAAAATAGCAGGAGAAACAGCTAAAGCAGCTGAAAAGAGGTGGCCTCTGGAGAGCAGACAGAAGAGTGGGGAGAGGGAACACAGACAACTGCTTTTTCTTGCTATAACCCCCTTAGTAATGTTTGGTTTTTAAAGGATATTCATGAAAACTGATGTGATAGAATTCAGATCTGTGGTTAACCCTGGGGAGGGGGACATGCATGCATTGACTGGGAAGGAGCACAATGTTAGAGCTTGTGGACAATGGAAATGTTGTATACCAGCTCTTATCCAACAGAACTTTCTGGAATGATGAAACTGTTCTCTATCCTCACCCACTGAGCACTTGAAAAGTGGCTGGTGTGACTGAGGAACTAAACCCTTAATTTGTATTTAATCTCAATGTAAACAGTCACATGAGGTTGGTGGCGGTTGTACTGGATGTCGCAGACGATGACAATGCTGTAGCTTTATGATCTGTCAAAAAATACGCAGAAGAAATAAACGTTCGTGCTTTGTCAAAAATCTTCGAGGAGCAGATGATGAAATAAAGAAATGGGGCAGAAGCAAAGGAAAACCACTCTTCAGCGTTGTACCCTCAACAAGGCCACGTGGATTTCCATCAGATAAAGCCCTGTTGAGGACGACCTCACACACCGTAATTTCATCGCCACAAGGAAACAATCTACCATGAGCGAGAACCAGCAGATGCAACCAACCACAGGAGTAGAGGGCCCCACACTCAGACGATGGAATTATCAGACAGATACTATAAAAGTACTGTGCTTAAAAGGAACCCAAGCCATGAAAAAAGATCAAGACACTAAAAAAAAATAAATCAGGCGTATTTAAAAGAGGAAAGATGGATTTGCATAGGGGAAATGCCTTAGAAAGATTGCCATATAATATAATATAATATAATATAATATAATATAATATAATGTAATATAATAATGCCTTTTTAAGATTGGCTTGCCAAAAATAGTACCAAGGAGAAGCACTTATTAAGTCAGAAGGAATCAAAGAGGAGAAAGTCAATTTCTGTGCAAACTACCTTTATTTATAAAGAAAAACTTCCCCATTTTGGTATAAGACCAGTGCTGTGTGAAGGCACTTGATGGGGGGAGGTGGGGCTGGGACCTTGGGAGAGACCAATGTGCCTCCCCTGCCCCAGAGGCTGCTGGGAGAGATGGGGGTGGAGGTGACTCCCGGGGAAATCCAGTGGAGGTGACCATCCCAGGGTGGGATGGTGGGTTGGCTTGCTGTGAGGGAGGGGGAGGGGTTGCCAGTAGGAGTGGGTGGCACTTTGGACCGGATCTGATTTGGCAAATGGGTGTGTGGGGTCCTCTCTTGCCCCCAGTGATTCCCACCACAACCTCCCACCGCTAAGGCAGGTTTCTAAACTTAAGGCTGGGGCTTCTCCCCCCGGGGGGTTCCAGGGAAGCAGAGAGCTGGCAGCAAGGACCCCACCCCTGCAGGCCTTGGGGCCGGGGAGATGCGGCAGTCACGGAGAGGGAGGTGTGGAGCCAAGGCGGGCAGCTTCCTCCAGTCTCCCTGGGAAACATCCTCTCCCAGCTACACCTTATTCCTCTGAGGCTTCACCCTGGGGAAGAGCTGAGGCAAGACAGGGACTTCAGGCTCCAGGAGCTCACGGCCCCTTATTCCACCCCCAAATTTAAAGCAGTCACCTGACGCCTCCAAGCACCAGATGCAGCGTTCCAATTACCAGCCCGTTGATGAAATGGAATATTCTGAGTCTCCCAGACGGCTTCTCCCTACCACCACGGCTATCCAGTTGGGACCCACCTCCATCCACCCCAAATTAAAAGGATCTTCTTCTCTCCTAGGAACAGAGATCCTGGTCTCCTCCCGTAACATAGCAGAATCTCCCTCAATTCTACCGTAATTTTACTAACGAATTCTTCCTCACCCTGTCCAATGCCTGTCACAAAAGTTTTCTCACCACCAGGCCTATAATGGACAATTCTTTAACTTTTCCCTCGTCGTTCAGATGGGATTTTTCATTGCTCCCCATTAATATATTAAGGGATGACAATAAAAATATTTGGTTGAACATGAACCAGTCGACTTTTCTTTATCTCCCCCCATTACTATAGTGGGCTTTTCCTCACCTCCCCACGATCGATAATGGACTCTTTTGACCCCCTCCCCTCCCCTATAATGGACTGTCCCTCTCGCCCGCCCCCTCTTCTTCCTGTGGCATCACCCCTTTCCCTAGAGGCCCGCATGACGTCTCTTCTGGGCTCACCCCGAAGTAGTTACGGGGCACATAGCCCTCCTGGCCGTGCAGCGCGGCCCACCACCAGTCTGTCTCCTCCGGCCCGTCCCTCCGCAGCACGGTGACCGACTCGCCCTCGCGGAAGGACAGCTCGTCCCCGAACTCGGCGCTGTAGTCCCAGAGCGCGTACACCACGCCGTTGTGCATCAGCCCCATGCTCTGCTCCACGTCTGAAACACCAAGCGGCCAGGATCGTGAGCGCCGGTCAAGGGGGACCAGGAACACTCAGGGGCACCAGACACACTGGGGACAGGGACGCGCCTTGGGATCTGGTGCCTGCCCTTGCTGGGGGACGAGACACCTGAGAACTCGTGTACCCCTGTCTGAAGAGGGGCGCTTGCGCTGGAGTCAGCTGCCGACACTGGCAGTCTCTGAAATTCGAGAACGCTGGGGTGCATCGTTAGGCCAACTCCCCCCCGCCACCCCGAGGCAGGGTCAGTGGTCCCCACTCCCTCCTGTACACTGAGAAGTCCCCGCATCACTCGCAGAGGTCCAGTCGCCTGCACCCCCCGCGGAAATGGTACAGTCTACATAGAGCTCTCAACCCCTCCTTCGGATGGTACAGCCCGACCCCTCCTCCCCTAAGTGCTCCCATCTCCCCCTTTGCAGATGGTGCAGTCCACACTGCTTCCCCGGACCCCCCCCCCCGCCCAAGTGATAAAGTCTCCGAAGAGGATGTAACAACTTCTCCAGAAGGTCCAGCTCACTCAAGCCCCCCGACCCTTAAGTGGTAACATTTCCAGCAAGGATTTAGCCCCATTCCCAGATGGTATAGTCCACCACGTTCCCCTTCCTTAGTGGTTCAGTCCACTGGGGTCCAGTTTCTCCTCCCCTCCCCACCCGGGTGCTGTCCAATCTCTGTTTCGCCCTCACTGAACTCTCCTCTTCGGAGCAGTGATCCTCACATCTCCCAGGCTCGACCTACCTGTGACAAAGGTGTAATGGCGCCATCCTCACACTCAAAGGTTACAGCCCGCCCCCTCTTCAGGGGACGGCCTGCTTCCCGCCCAGCGATCCAGGCCCCGTCTGCCCGGCTCACCGGAAGGCAGTTGCTACAGCCCCACGGCTGTCACCCACCTCCTGCCAGGGGTGGCACAGCAGGCTGCCACGGAGCCCCATTGGGCTCTCCTCTCAAATACACTGTCCCACCCCCAGTTCCCGCAGTCTGCCTTTCTCCACCTCTGCGAAGTTCCTAACGCCCCCTAGGGTGCAATTCGCCCCTCCAGGTGTGCAATACAGACCCTACCGCCCCACGGGGCAGCCTGCCTCGTTCCTCCCATCGCCAGCCTAGGTCATGTGGCGCCCCTGCCGGAGATAAATGGTACAGCCTCGTGTCTCCCTCCAAGTGGAAGAGTCCCCAGGCCCGTCCCCAGAAGCCACGGCCTGCTCACCTGCCGGCTGTATGGTACTGTATCTCCCACAGGTAAGCACAGCCGCCCTGCCCAGCCTTACGCCAGGTAGATGGTATAGTCGGAACGTCCAACCCCGCCCCCCAGGTGAGAGAGCGGATGAAGGGCGAAATCTCCACGACCACCGTTCTCCCCGCAGGTGTCTAGCCTGCGGTACACCCCCGTGTCCCCCTCTCCCTCGAAGGTGAAGATCCGTTCCCCCCGCACACCTTGCTTGCACCTGCCGCGTGGGAGATCCAGTCCCCCAACCTGGCGGGGGCTCCATCCCGCAGCCCCCTGCTCTGCGATGCGGCCACATGGTTGGCACAGCCCCCACGTCCTCTCCCTCCTGAGTGGCAGTCTGCAGCGCCCTCCCCCCAACACTTGCCAGCTGGGCGGCTCCGTCCCCACGACCCGCTCCCCCAGAGGTGGCCCAGCCCCGCCTCGCCTCGCACCTGCCAGGTAAGTGGCGCAGTCCGCGTAACCCTCGCGGTAGGGGTCGCACTTCTCGATGGCGGTGGCGCCGTCGCTTATGGTGGTGGCGAAGATCGCCGCGCCGTGCTGCACCAGCGCCGTGCAGATGGCCGTGTCGTTGCACGACGCCGCGCAGTGCAACGGTGTCCTAGGCGCGGGAGGCGTGCGTGAGGCCGCGCGTTTGCCCGCGGGGCCCCGGGCCGCCGCGCGCTCCCCGCCCCACGCCGCCCCGCCGGGCAGGGCTCACCAGCCGTGGCTGTCGGGGGAGTTGACGTTGGCGCCGGCCGCGATGAGGAAGTCCACGATGGGGTAGTTGGCGCCGCAGATGGCGTTGTGCAGGGCGGTGATGCCCTCCTCGTTGGGCTGGCTCGGGTCGTTCATCTGGGGGTGGGGGTGGAGCCGGGGGACCAGGAGGCTCAGTCCCGCGGCTGCCATCCCGCGCCCGCCGCCCCCAGCCCGCCAGCCTGCCCCTTGGCGGCGCTCACCTCCTTCACCGCCTGCTGCACCACCTCCAGCTCCCCGGTCAGCGCCGCGTCCAGCAGCAGCACCAGAGGGTTGAGGCGCGCGCGGCGGGCCTTGCGCGGGGAGCCCACCTTCCGCAGCACGGAGCGCATCTCCTGGGAGACAGGGCGGAGAGGGGTGGGGCGGGCTTCAGTGACTTGGAGGGATTATCAATTCCCCCATTACTCAGAGTGGGAAACACAGACTCAGGGACCAGGCGGCAGCTACTCCAGGTCATCCAACTAGACAGAAGGAGGGCTGCGAGGGAACCCAGGGAGGTCCAGAGCCTGAGTCCAGAGCGCCAGGCGGAGGCGGCGCCTCAGTTCCGCAGCCTCCGGTTCCCTCCAACAGTCAGGGCGCCCGTTGATTTTGCAATGCTGCGCCCTGAGACGCGAGAGGAAGCTGGAAGACCCTGGAACTGATGATCGTGCAAGCCAGATATTCAACCCATCCACAGTCTCATTTCTTTTATAAAAAATAAATGGTATGAAGCACGCATGACAAAAATGTTACCAAGTGTTCATTCCAGATGGTTGGAATTAGAATATTTATCATATTACTCCTTGTGCGTTCTTATTGTTGATTTTCAAGTGCCCTCCTGCAAGGCTGATTTATTCTGAGCACGTAGCATTCAGGATTCTGGTCTTGGCTGTCCGTGATCTCAAGATTCTAGAATTCAGAGATCTCAAGAGCCCAAGAATTTCAAAATTCTCCCATACTCAGTTATTTCAAGTTTCCAATATGTCCTGAGTCCGGAAATGCTGTTGTGTCATTTCAAATTGCCAAGGACCCAGGACATTACGCCCCCAAGATTCTGTGATTGAGAACTTTAATATTTGATGGTTAGAATTTCACGCCAAAATATTGGGAGGAAATACTCAAAATGTTAAGCACGGTTCTGAGTGCTGTCATTTTGGCCTCTTGATTTCACTTTGATCTATTTCCTCCCAGTTTCTGTGGCCTTTGTGTATTCCTTTCCAGTGGGAAGTGTTCAGTGAAAATATAATCCTGTTTTACAACACGTTAGTGCACTAATGTGTGATTTTATGATTCAAGTGATAAGAGTCTCTAATTTTCAGTTGTGATGGCTTCAAGAATCAGTAACAACCAGGGTCTGTGTTAGTAACTTTTAAATTCTAAGATCCTGTTCTTCAAACCTCCAGGGCTCCAGGATTCTGAAATGTCACTGTTCTGAGGTGGGGGTGCCAGGACTGAATTCTTGCATTCTGTGAGTTTTCAGGTTTCTCTGTGGCTGGGACTTTGTGCCACTTGACCATTTCAAGACCATTTCTTCCGTTCTTGATTTCAAGACCCTGAGCCTCAACATTTCTTGGCTCCACCCTCGAGAGGGCCTGGGAATAGGCATTTTGGGGTGTCTACCTGGTCCCCATTTCTTCCCTGGGAATTGTTCTCCTCCATCTGTCTACCCACACTGAGCGATCAGGACTGTTTCATGTGACTACACTCCCCACCCCAAGGCAAAATAAACTATATTAATATATTAATCCTCATAGCAACCCTATGGTTATTCTCACCCCTCTTTTACAGATGAGGAAACGGAGGCCCAGAGAGGTTAAGTGTCTTGCCTAAGGTTGCACAGCTAAGTGCTGCAGAGCTGGGATTTGAACCCTGGCAGCCGAGCTCTGCAGCTGGTGCACTTAACCACAACACCCACAGCCTCAGAGACCAGAGACGCACTCTTGAAAATTTGAATGGAAGCAGCTCTGAGTGGAGTCAGAGGACACCATGGACTTGAACTGAGAGGTCACTGTGAGTCAGGGCTGGGTGGGCCATTTCTAGCCACAGCCCGGGTGGCTGAGATGTCAGAGGAGAGAGCAGATCCCCAGAGGAGGCAGACCCGAGATCCTGTATGGCACCCGGGGAGAGAAATGGTGATTGCCTTGACTCAGGCAGGCTTTCCAAGTCCCAGAATAAACCCACTGTCGTGCCAAGACGCAGTCACCTCCAAGTTGTAAGACTCCGAGATTCCTAAAGGATGCCCTGGGGGGCAAGTTATCGGGGAGGAGCAGAGAAAGTCTCTGTGCGGCCAAGACTTCCAGACGCCCCTCCATATATACTCTCCCTTGCTTCTGAGGATGGGCACACCTAGATTAAGGACTACATTTCCCAGGCTCCCTTGAGGCTGGGTTCCTGGCCAATGGGATGCGGCAGATGGGATGTGTGCAATTTCCAGCGGTCCTCAAAGGGAAGGGTCACTCCCATATGCTAACTGCTACACCCCCGTTTCCTCCTATGTTACTTACCATGCTCTGCGGCTGCTCTGGTGGGCTGCTCTGGGGCGGGGCCGGGGGTGGTATGGGAGCTGGTGGGGCAGGAGCAGGGGGCCCCGCCCTGGCCTCAGATCCCTCAGTGATGGGGGACAGCTCGGGCTCAGGCCCCCCAGGCCCGCCGTGCCGATGGAAGAGGCGGTTAATGATCTGCTGGTATTGCTTCTTGTGGGTGGGAGGCAGGGCTACAGCAGGGCTCTGCTCCATGGAGCCCCTGCGTTTGAGGGGCCGTGGAATCTCCGCCAGCACCCGTGCCACCTCCTCCAGCTCAGGCACCGACTGTGCCTCAGGCGGCAGCGCTGGCTGCAGCCGTGTGGGGCTGAGGGGCCGAGTTACAGCGCCTTCATCTGCATCGCCAGCCTCCAGCACTGGCGTCAGCAGCCCCTCCAGCTCTGGCTCAGGCTCCAGCTCAGAGGGTGGTTTGGGGGTGCCTAGAAGGATTAAGAGCCCCATCAGAGGAGGGTTCCCTGGGCGACCCCCAAGACTCCCTCCCCACAACTTCCAGGACCTGCAAGCAGCACCCAATTTGCTGTGTCACCTCAGGGAAGTTCCTTGCTCTCTCTGGGCTACACTTTGCCTGGGCTGTGAATAATATACAATGATGACATCTCCCATGAGTCAAGCACTTAGCATGTACTCGGCACTTTCCGTGCCTGTCCTACTGAATTCTCACCACTACCTTGTGAGGTAGATCTGGCTATCATCTCCTTATTACAGAAAGGGAAACTGAGTTCAGAGAGGGCAAGTCAGTTGCCCAAAGCCACACAGTTGGGATCTGAACTCAGTTCTATCGGACTCCAGAATCTGTGTGCCTACCATCGTGACAGACTAGGCTTTCTAAGATTCTAAGAATTTCCTCGCCTAACATCTTGGGCACAAAACTCCTGCTGGGACCAGAATCTTGGTGCTTGATGCTCTCTTCTTATTTCTCTCTATCAGAGCTTCTAAAGTAGGTAGAAATAATGATGACTCCCAATACATTATTCCATTGAATGCCCATCATAATCCATGAGGTAGGTATTATCAATCTCTCTTCACAGATGAGAAAATGGACGCTCAGAGAGGTTAACTAATTTATCTGGAGTTACACAGCAAGTCAGTGGTGGAGAGGGGCTCAAAACCCACTCTGCTTAACTCCAGGCCCTGCACCGGTCTCACACCAAAAAATATTAATAGTTATTATAACTAATACGACAGCTATCAAGGGCTTACTATACATCAGGCTCTATTTTAAGGACTGCATATGGATTAAGTAATCTAACACCGTATCCCGATAAGATAGGTTCTATCATCATTCATCTTTTATGCTCAAGGAAATTGAGGTCCAGAGAGGTTAAGTGACTTGCCCAAGGTCACACAGCATGGAGCTAGGCAGTCCGACTCCAGGGTCCATGCTTGACTGCTGCACTATCCCTGGTTCCTAAGCAAATTCCCAAGCTCATCTGGCCTAGCTGTCTGCAGGGGCAGTGTCTGCACACAGGGGTTTGGCTGTGATGGCTTCCTCAACTGGTGTGGTCCCAGCCATTTGTCCTCCCTTCCCCAAGCCCTCTGGGCCCCCCACTGCTGACTCACCTTCGCTCAAAGGGGACCAGGTCTGTTGGGAGGGCTGGGGGGCTGAGGCAGGGGGTTGAGGCTGGGACTGAGGCTGAGGTTGTGGTTGGGGCTGAGATTGGGGGGGTAGCTGGGGCTGGGGGGGCGCCTGGGGCTGGGGAGGGAGCTTGGGCGGGGGAGCTCTGGAGAAGATGGGGGAGCCAGGGAGCATGGCCCTGCTGGCCCCATGCTCCCAGAAGGCGTTCTGCAGCTTGAATATCATGCTGAGGGGGATGGGGCGCTGGCGAGGGGCCGCGCGGGGCTGGGGGCTGGACGGAGGCATGGGGATGCGGCTGACAGGCTGCCAGCTGCGGGGCAAAGTGCCTGATGGCCCCGCTGAGCCCAGCGATCGGCGGTAGCTGCCCACATCGGAACGCCTGTCGTTGGCCAGAGGGGAGACCTTGTAATTGCGAGGCAGGGTGGCGCTGGTGAGGTTGTCCTGGGGCGGAAAGAGGGAAGGAGGGAAAGACGAAGGGGCTCAGGTGGGAGGAAGATGGGGATAAAGGAACAGTAAGGAAAGGGGGGGGGGAGAGGAGGGAGGAATGGGCAAAAGGGGAGAAGGGAGAGGAGGGGAGGGAAGCCAGAGGGAGTGAGGGAGCGGAAAGAGGGTCAGGGAGAAGGTGGGACCCAGGGTAAAGAAGGAAGAGCGTGGGGAAGGGCACGGAAACTGAGGGCGAAGCCAGGAGGGAGAGACTGACCCTGATCCCGCTCCCGGCCCTTGCCCACCAGCCCCTCCCCAGCCGCCCCTCACCTTGCTGGAGGCCCCCAGCCCGTCCAGGCTGCTTTCTCTCCAGGGCAACAGCTGCGGGCCCGGCGAGGAGGGCCGCGCAAAGACATCCAAGCCTGCGAAGGGGGAATCATTAGGGTCTTGCGGGGGGGTGCTTTCTTCTGCCTCCCCCACTCCCCCGGCCTCCCATCACTCACGTTCATAAGTCCCTGACTGCGAAGACTTCTTCTCGTAAGCCACGTCCAGGTCAGACTCGTTCCAGGCTTTGGGGGGCCGTCGGCGCAGCGTCAGGTCGTCTGGGGAGAGGGGGCGAAGGGGGATAAGGGGGAAGGCTGGTCCCGGCCGCGCACCCCTCCCACCCCCCAAGTCCGGCCCCCTGGTTCACCTTGCGCGCGCAGAGGCGGGGCGAAGGCGCTGCCGCCCGCGCCCAGCAGGGGGCCCCCGAAGGCCGCCGGCCCGTCGTAGCCCGAGAGCGAGGGGCGCGGCGAGGGACCCCGCTCGGGGAAGAAGGCCTGGGGCCCCTCGGCCAGGGGGCTGCCACGGGGGGAACCAGCGCGGCCCAGGAAGTCGAAGGGCGCGGGGGGACCCTGCTGGCGCAGCGGGCCCCCGCCGGGCCGCGGAGAGGGCGCGCGGCCGAGGGAGCTGCCCGCGCCATCGAAGGCGCGCTGCCGGGGCGAGGGCGCGCGGTCCAGGGTGCCGTAGGCGTCCGGCTGCAGGTAGAGCGGGGTGCGCGGGGACGACGGCCGGCCCTTAGGGGACAGCGGGCTGTAGTGCAGAGTCGGGGCGCTCTCGGAGCGTCCGAACGAGGTGTCTGCGCCGTCGGTGGTCGTCTTTCGGGGGGACCCGCGGCTGCCGAAGGGGTCAAGGACCGGGCTGGAGCTGTACCGGGACAGCTGTGGGGAGGCCTGGATATTGAGGGGTCAAAGGAGACATTAGTAGAGGCGTTGGTAGGTGATCAAAAGAGGTCATCACAAATCAACTAAGGGGAGTTGGAGTGGGAGATTAACGCACGGGGAGCCCAGGTGAGGGGTGTTGGGGAGAGTCCTGAAACCGGGGCTGAGGCTAGCCCATCCAGGGCCTTTGCGCCGCTTAGAAAAAGGCCCCTTTCCTTCCGAGGGTCCCATTGGATGTCCACTTCCACCTGGTCCCTTCTTTAAAGTTCCCTTCAATAGCGCACCACTTGCACACCTCTGTGGAGCAGCCCTGCCTGAACTCTGGGCGTAAAGAAGCTGGCTTTGGGGACGGGGGGGGGGGGGGGGGGGGCCGCGGGGGGGGGGGTTTTTAACACGAAGGCTCACCCTAGGGGGGCCTCCGGCCTGCGAGCACAGAGGGCCCGCGGAGTCTGACCACAGCGACTCCCAACTGCTTGGCAGTCGTCCACCTTGGCTGCCGCCGTGTCCGCTCCATCTGCTTCGGTCCATGTGCTTCATGGCCAGAGCTGCGCGGGTGGGAGTGGCGGTAAGGACCAGGGCCCCGCCTCTGCCCCTCGCCAGCCCCGCCCCGGCCAGCCCCGCCCCCTCCCTTGCTCACACTGGAAGTTCAGGTCCAGGAGGTCCCGCGCGCTCTGGAACGCCTCGCTGTCCATGGTGCCGGCCGGAGCGGGGCGCCTGCGCTGCGGGGACAGACTTCTTAGACGGCGCCCTCCAGACCCCGCCCGCAGAGCTGGGCGAGGAGGAGCCGGGCAGCGCTTTTACTTTCCTAGTTCCTTCCACTGGAAGCGCTACGCTCCTCCACTTCCCGGGCTGGGAAATGCCAGCTCCTTCAAAGTCCTCTTGGAAGGCTCGGGACAATTCACTCTCTTTACGTGGCTTCTTGCCCATCTCTCTATCTCAGCCCTAATAAGACTTGAATCATCCCTTCAATACCCATTGATCACCTACTATGTGTCGGCACTGTAGTGCACAGAGGATGCAATAATAATTATCCATTACTGAATGCCTACTAGGGATCAGGCAGACAGTGTGTTGGATGCTGGGGGTAGTTTTTAAAATAATAATTGTGCTGCCAACGGTCAGCACCTGTGTCCTGTGTCAGGACCTGTGCTGGTTGCTTGAGGGTCTAATGAAATAAAACCACCATTTATTGAGGGGCCACTGCCTCCGAGAATTGTGCCAAAGACTTTACACCCGATACCTCATTCCAAGGTTAAAACCGCCATGGCAGTCAAGAAAGTGGGGCTCAGAAACATTTGTTCAAATTCACCCTGCAAGAAGTCAGCATAGTAGGTTTCCCATCAGATCGAACTTGTCATTCTGGGTCATCTCCATCAGACTGGAGGGGCCCCAGAGGGCAGGGACCACTCGGCTTCCTCTCCCCAGAGTCCCCACCCAGACGAGACCTGGTTTGCACAGACTCAGCATTAACAGGAACAACAGGGAGGTGGCCACGGGTGGCTGGCCGCTGTGGTCACCGGCCCAGTGGGAGGGAGCCAGGCCACCAGGAACCGGTCAGGCCAGCATCCCCATCCCATGGCAGCCACCACACCCATCAGCTCTGCCACCTCCCCGGCTGCACCGACCTCTCAGCTTTGGCTGGGCGGTGCAGGCGTGGGCCGCGGGGCGGGCTGGGGCATGCTGCTTCCAGCCTGTGTCTGGGGAAACTCAGAACAGAACCTGTTGGGGCTGGTGGCTCATCTGGGTGTGTTGGGAGCGTGTGACCTTGGGTGATGATGAGTCCGCTCCACTCCTCGGGCCTCAGTTTCCCCAAGAGTGAAAGGAGGAGGCAAATCGGCTATTCTGAGAGGTCTCTTCAATCTCTCGGAGGCCTCGATTCTGAAATTGTAAGGACTCTGAGGTTGTAAGTGAAGTTCTACAGAGCCTAAAACCCTCAGCTTGAGAGTCTATTATTTGCAAGTGCTCGGTCTAAGGCTCTATCTTTGGAACATTCTAGAATTCCGCAGGTTGGCTAGCCTAGATTTCTCCATCTCCATGCACTGTTCTATCTACCGCAGGATTCCACTGTCAGAAAAGTCTAGGTGAATGCGGGGCATAGTGGAGTGGCTAAGAGCAAGAGTTAAGAAGCCGGACTTCCAGGGTTCGGATCTGGCTGCATCACTGTCTGACCCTGATAAGAGGGCCGCTCGGTCTGTAAAACGGGGATATATAGTAGGCCACCTTGGAGGACTGTCGTGAGAACCCAACTGTCCAGACGGTGCCAGAGGAACCACAGCTCTGAGAACTGAGTCTCAGAAAGCCGGGACTACAGGAATGAAAACTCGGCTTTCAAAATCCGAGACACCCAGGAAACACTCTGCAAGTGTCTGTTAAAATATAAAAGGGAACCATCCCATGCAGCGTCCAGGGCCAGCATTCTGACAGCGGGCGGTTCTTGGGGCATTTCAAGGCTTCCCAAATTCTAAGACTCTCAGATCCCACGCTGACATCCTCTGGCTGCAAAGGAAATGCCAGACCTGGGCGTGGGGCCGGCGCGGGCGGAGGGGGGTCGGGGCCGCCAGGGGGCGCTCCGGGGCACGGCCCGACCCCAGCCCGGCGGGCGGACCGCGCCTGAGCTCAGCCCCCGGGAATGCGCGGCGGGCCCGGGCAGGTGCGGCACCTCCGGCGGAGGGGAGAGCGGGCAGGGCGGGGCGCGGGGGCGGCCCGGGCCGCGCCTCTGCTCCCTGGCCCCTGCCCTCCGCCCCCAGGTCCTCTCCGCCGGGCTCCGCTCCAGCCCCAGCCTCCGCTCCCTCCTCCCCTCCACCCCTAGATCTCCTTCCCCGGCTTCCTGGGCACCCGAGCCAGGTTAAGCATCCCGGGGGGCTCCCTGGAGGAATCATCCTCAGTAGGAACCGTGTCAGAGCGCCAGGCTGGGCTGGGAATACCCAAGTTGGAATCTGACAGTTCTGACTTGGTTTCCCCCTCTGTGGACGTCTGTGGAATGGGCTATTCAGCTTCTCTGTGCCTCAGTTTCCTCGTGTGTGTAATGGGGGAATTAACACCTTCACCTCAAAGGGGTGTGAAGTTTGAGTGACATAATTTATATTGTGTTTAGAATAGTGCAGAGCGTGAAATAAAGTTCACACCTATAGGATCCTTAATGACCGGCCTTCCTTGGCTGGTCATTAAGATAACTCAGGGTCTCGAACGGACTGAGGGCTCAAGACCCAAAATAATTTCTTTTCCCCTAAAAGGGCCCTGTAAACTCTTCCTGAGATTCGTAAAAACCCTGAGTTTTGACCTCTGGTGACACTACTTCCTGAGCCCTAAATTTTCCCCACACATTCCTGAGTTCTGGCCAGTGGTCATCCCCAATACTTTAGGCACAGGGGCGTGGGGAGCCCTGGAAGATTCCAGACAGAAGGTGGCAAAAGCTCAGGGTGTGGGCTGTGCTTGCTCTCCAGCCTCAGTTTCCCCGCTGGAGTAGGGAGAAGGCATTCCCTAGGGTGGGGTCACCAAACCTCATTGCAAGCGACACCCTTGGGCAGTTGCCTGAGACTTCTGTAGACAATGGGAACCATCCCGTGTACCTGCCAGCCCTGAGCCTGGCACGCTGTGAGTTCTGTCTTGGCAGCCACAGTTATTATTTTTAATTTCATCTCGGGCCATCACCCAATGCCCTTCAAGCTCAGACATTAGGAAGTTCTTCCTTCTCTCAGCAGAACCCCCTGTTCCTCCCCCCCCCCCCACCTTTTAATCCTCTCACATGATGCATGGGGGTGGAGAGAAGGGGGAGACAGACAGAGGGAGGGGCCGGGCCCTGCCCTCCCCCAACTTCAAGGACAGGCACACCTCCAGAATTAGCGTCCGTGCCTCCCTTATCTCCCACTACCTCGGGTCAGACACATGGGGGCGGAGGTGACATTTCTCATCGCAGGGTCAGGGAGAGGAGCCCTGAGAGGGAGAAGGTTAGTCAGAAAATCTGGTGGGAGTGGATGGGATCTCGTCCCCCAGGGAGCTGCAAGGGGAAAGGGGGGCCAAATCCTGACCCCCAACTCTGCTGCCTGTGTGACCTCTAAGGCTCAGTTTGCCCTCTTCCTCTCTGTGCAGTGGCTGTATAGTACCCAGCCATGCCAGCCTCCCAGAATCCAATCCCACCTTCTGGAATTCTGCCCTGGGTTCCAGAAGGTCCTCAGCGAAACCCAGATATTTCCCACCTCCACGGGACAATCGGAGGCTGCCCCCCGCCCCCGCCAGGGGGCGCCCTGGGGCGGAGGTCCCTCCTCTGGTTAGGCAGGTCTGACGCCCCGGTTAATGACATGTTGGGGATCGCGCAGCGGCACACAGGAGGTTGGAGCGCTGCCCCGGTTCCCCTCCCTTGCCCCCACCCCAGATCCGGAAAGGAGGGGGAGCGCCGGGATACAGCCTCCAGGGGGACCCCGGGTGCTCGTCCTGCTCCATTTCAGGGGCCCAGATTCCACTATCCCCACCCCACCCCTAATTCTTCTCGGAGACCTAGAGCCTCGGGCGAGAAGGCAGCTGGAGGGTGGCAAGGATGGCCGTCCCTTCCACCGCCGCAGCAGTCTGAGCCTCCCATTTCTGCCCAAGACTCAGGGATCCGATACCCCAGTTCTACTCAAGGACTCAGACTTCCGAGAGCCCCCAATTCGAGGGACTCAGGAGTCCCAGCTCCAAAGTTTCCCCGGGACCAAGGCGTCAGAACCCTCCACTCCAAGAACTCAGGCGTCTGAGCCCCCTTTCCTTCTGCCCAGTAAATGAGGCATCCGAGTTCTCGCCTTCCCAGCACCCTGGCGTCTGCGCACCCAATTCCGCCCGGGGACCTGGGGTCCGAGTCCACTCCCAGTCCTCCCAGGGACGCGGGTGTCGAGCTCCTTCAGAGCCGCTGGACCCCAGGGCGGGTGGAACTCACGGATCCGGGGCAGATCCTGGCACCGGGGGGCTTCCTCCGGCTCCGGCTCTGGCTGCGGGGAGCGGAGGATGGGGCGGGGCAGGCGCCGGGAACAGGTTAGACGACGTGACTCCCGCTGGAGAGAGGCGGGTCCCGGAGGGGAGGGGGAGCCGGGGTCGCCTTGAGTACCTTGGGACTTGTAGTCCCGGAGGAGTAGGACGCAGACTGAGACATTCCCATTTGGACTCACCCAAAGTCCATTTCACAGACAGGAAGGGCGAGGTCCGGAAGCCGAGAGTGACCTGGCCACACAGTTAAGAGTTCAGACTCCCACCTCGCTGTGGCTGCAGGAGGCGGACTCCCGAGTCCCTGCCCCACCCCTCCAGGCTCAGTTTCCCCTTTCTTGAGTGATGATTTGGATGCTACCATAGGGGTCGAAGGTTAGAGGCCCGGGGAGACTCACATGCCCCGCCCCTAAGGTGAGAAGAGCGCCTTGATAAATCAGTATCCCCTCGGGTCTCTGAGCCTCAATTCCCCCGTCGGTAAAAAGGGCGACTCGGATCTTTACTGGACTTCCAGCAACAGTCCCCAAAGTCGGAGACTGGGACTACAATCCCCAGCAGCTTCCGCGACGGACATCGGGCGCCTCCCCGCCTCGCCTCCTCTGGGAATTGTAGTCCCGGAGCCCGCAGGGGCGGCGCCCGGGGTTCTCGCCCACGCGCGGGAACTGCCTGGGGACCCCAGGCCGAGGGAACGCGTCCCCTTCCCCTGGTCCTCTCCGTTCTGGGAAGTCGCTCCCTCCCTGAGAAGGAGGGCGTCCCAGTTCTGGAGTAGGATCTGAAATCTCGGCAGAGGGGGCGGGAAGCGGCGCTGACACACTGGCCAGGAATGCAGTCGGGTCGCCCTGTCTAGCCGCTGTCCGCAGCTGCACCCGCCGCCCCACGCCGTGCGGTCCCTGTGGAAAGGGGCGTGCGCGCGTCCCCCAAGTCTGCGTCCACGTGCCGCTGTTTACACGCGCCCCGGGGCAAGGAAGGGGCTCTGCTCCGGACTCCTACTCCCTGTCCCTTCCTCAAAGCCTTCGAGAAGGTCCCCCACGCACGAGACTAAATCCTCCGGGGCATCTACCCGTCTCATTTGATCCACACGCCCCGCCCCTTAGTGCGCACCACCCCACGCGTGTCTAGCTCGGGAGTCCAGAGGCTCCGCCCCGGGACCCACAGGCCCCTCCCCCTATGTTTCCCGCTCCCCTGCAGCCCAGAAGCCCCGCCCCTCGGGAGGAATGACCCCCCCCCCATTCCTCCATTTTCCATCTCTCACTCATATTCTGAAATTCCCAGGCATCTAGGCCTCCCCAGAAGGAATTCTAACACTGAAAGCACAGCCCTACCAACCGCGACTCTTACCTGTCTCTTTAAGAATTTCAGACCAATCGATCTTCCTGTCGCTTTAAGAGCTGGGTCCTAGCAATGTGGCTGCCCCTTTAAGGCGACGTTGGAGCAAAGAATGTCAGAGAAACCGGGGGGAGACCCGCTGGAACCTGATGCGGTTCTAACTCCCGCCCGACAGCGCATCCACTGCTTTCGGGAGCAGATTTTCGAGCAAAGACGTCTGCCTTGGTTGTCTGCTCTGCACAAGAGGAAATTTGCCCCAATTCTGCTCCTAGAGCGAGCGGGCTCCGAGCGACATCCCCCGCGCGCCCAGCCACATGGGCGCTCCCGGAGGAGCCCCCGCCCCCTTGGTTCCACGTGGTCGGCGGCGGGGCCGGAGGAGCTCTGGCGGCGGGGTCTGCGGGAGGCGTGGGTCCCGGGATGGCGGGCGCTCCGGCCGGCGGTGAGATGCTTCCGGGCGGGCCGATGGGGTGAAGGGAGCTGGCTGGGGGAGGAGAAAGGGGCGCTCGAGAGCGTTAGGACAGAAAAAGGGACATCGCCGGAGACAGGACCTGCGGAGACTGTATCCCCCCGGGGGGCGGGCGGTTCAGACGGAGAGGGGGTATCTTGGGGGGGACTACCGGTGGGGAGAAGGGCGCGCCCAGGGGATGGGTCGGCGGAGCTAGGGGCACCTCTGGGGAACAGGCGGCAGAGAGCAGGGACCTGCTGAGGGGATGGGGATGCTCAAGAGGTTGGGACCAATGGACGACAGGCGTCCTGGAGGATTGGACCGGTAGGAAGGTGTCGACAGACCCCGTTTCCCCTTCTGCAGGTGCGGCTCGGTTTTCTTGTCCCCCCAACTTTACCGCGACGCCCCCAGCCTCAGAGCCCACTCGTTTCTCCTTGGAGGCGTTGACGGGCCCGGATGTAGAACTGTGGCTTATCCAGGCCCCTGTGGACTTCGCCCCAGACTGGTGAGTGGTCCCACCCCCGGGGCTGGACTTGGGGGGAAATTTAGAGAGGCTTTCCTGAGGAACCCAGAAATGCTGCTGCTCAGCTCTTTCCCCTTGTCCCGCGAAGAGAATCTGATCAAGCTTCTGCCCTCCCCCTTTCTCCCTTCAGCCTCAACGGGCGGCTTGTGCCTCTTTCTGGCTCCCAGATCGTGAAGGGCAAGTTGGCGGGTAAGCGGCACCGCTACCGGGTCCTCGGCAGCAGTGGCCCCCAGGCTGGAGAAGCAACACTGCTGGCCCCCTCAACGGAGGGAGGAGGGGGCCTCACCTGTGCCCCAGTGCCCCAGGGCAGGCTAAGGATTTTTGAGGGTCCCCAAGAATCCCTTTCAGGATTCTTGGGGACCATCCCAGCAAGCCCCCCACCACAGATCCCCCCTGGCCTGAGGCCTCGGTTCTGTGCCTTTGGAGGCAGCCTGCCGGTCACAGGGCCTGGGTCGGCCTTGGCACTGAGGTCACCAGCCTCGGGGAAGAGGAAAAAGAAGAGGCATACGCCAGAGGCCTCAGTTCCTCAGGAGGCAGTGAATGGGCATGGGGCACTGGAGGTGGACACAGCTTTGGGGTCCCCAGAGATGGACGTGGGGAAGAAGAAGAAGAAAAAGCAGCAGCTGAAAGAACTGGAGGTGATGGAGCCGGTGGCAGCAGAGCCCGCGGCTGAGATGTTGGAACCACTGGGAGTGCCATGTCCGTTCACCACCAAGAAGAGGAAAAAGAAGCCCAAAGAGGCAGAAATGGTCGAGCCAGAAATGGGGCTGCTGGAGCCAGAAGAAAAGACAGGGGAAATGGAACTCATGGTTAAAACTGAGCCTCTGGAAGAGACGGTGCTAACCCCCAGGAAGAAGAGGAAGAGGGCGAAAGGGACAGAAGAGATGGAGCCAGTGGAGGGGATGATGGTTGAATCTCAGCTGCAGGTGAAGATGGAGCCACAGGAGGAAGCCATCCCACTGCCGTCCTCGAAGAAGAAGAAGAAAGAAAAGGGGTACCAAGTGATGATGGAGCCAGGGACTGAGGCTATAGAGCCAGAGACAAAACCTCTGGAGCTCCAAGGGGAGATGATGGAGCCTGAACTGCCGCATGAAGTGGAGCCTCAGGCCAACGCAGCTCTGGCATCCCCCAAAAAGAAGAAGAAGAAAGAAAAATGGCAAAATGTGATGATGGAGCCAGGGACAGAGATGGTGGAGCCACAAGAGGTGGTGATGGAGCCTCAGCTGCCAGGTGACCTTGAGCCTCAGGCAGCTCTAGCATGTACCAAGAAGAAGAAGAAGAAAGAAAGAGAACACAAAGCGCCGGTGCCAGGGCCGGAGATACTTGAGCCACAAGGTGAGATGATGGAGCTTGAGCTGCCAGATGAGGGTGAGTCTGAGGCCAGGGCAGATCCGGCGTCCACCAAGAAGAAGAAGAAGCGGGGCCGGGAAAGCAGGGTGGCAGAGATGGCATCCCAGGAGGAGATGCCAGAGCTGCCGCTGAATCCGGAGTCTGGGGAGGTGGCTCCCCCGGGACGGAAGAAGAAGAGGGAGAGGCATCTGCAGCAGGACCCTGTGTAGTCTCCCCCAGGGAAACAGGGCTGTGGCTAAGGAAAGCTGCAGGTGGCCACCTGGGCCATCAGACGCGGACCAAACGAGCACACCAGCAGGAGCCCGGGCTGGAAAATGCTTTATTCTCACCCCGAGGGCCTCCTTGGCAGCTGGGGTCATCGGGGCACTTTCAAGAAGGGCTCATGGAGGACATCAAACAGCCTCCGGGCCTGGGTGGGAAGGAGACAGAGACGAGGAGCCGGTCATTAAAGGAGCCACGTGTTTGAAACACCCAGAGTGGGCTTTTGGTTCTTTTTCTCCCAGCTTGGAGGGGCTCTGGGGGCTAGGAGAGAAGTACCCCAATCTGGATTCTGACCCACACTGGCTGTGTGAGGCCGGGCTGGTCCCCACCCTCTCTGAGCCTCGGTTTCCCCCCATCTGTAGGAGATGCACTGTGGGCCTTCTGAAACCTCAGAACTCCGGCATCTGAGGTCTTGTTTATTTGGGGCTCCCTCCTGCCCCAGACCCCATCAGCCCATTCCCAGAGCCCCTACCTTCTGGGGTCCCAAGCCTGGGCACAAGGCCAGATCTTCCCGTGATGCAGCTATGAGCTGTTCCAGAGACTGAAAAAGATGGGAGCGAAGGGTCAGGGGAGGTAAGCACAAAACTCTATCCTGGGCCAGCTGATCAGAGGTCTACGATATTCCTGGAAGGAGGTGAGGTCCTAGGGGAGGCAGGAAGGATGGGGGCAGAGGACAGGGAGGTAGAAGGAAATGGGGTAGGGGGCCTTCCTTGCAAAGGCAAGGGGGTAGAAATGCCTGTTGGGACAAGGGAATTGGTCCTTACCCCAAAAGTAGCCAGGAGGGTCTGACTGTCCGTTTTGTTCACTGACTTCACGGTGGTGAGACATTCAATCACCTGAGAGGAGAGGAGCAGGCAGAGGTGTGACGGGAGAACAAAGGAGCAAGACTGCGCCCTTGAGGGCAGGGCTGGGTCACTGCTGTGTCCCCAGATGGCCCTGCATGCAGGAGGCACTCAATAAATGCTTTTTTTTTTTTTTTAACTGATTAAAAGGTCATCTGGGAGTAATCCCCAGCTAGCTGAGCAGGTATCGGTCACGTGATATAGGCTCTGGAATCAGACGTGGGTACAAACTGGGTGTGGGGACCGACCTCTCTGGGCCTGTTTTCAGGCAAATGGGGGTCCTAATGGTACCCAACTCGGGTGGCAGTGGACATCCACCATTATCTATCATTGGAGCCCAGATTCAACAATTCATCCAGCAAATGAGCACCCACCGTGCTGGTTGATGCTGAGGACACAGTGGGGACCAAGGCAGCCCCAGCCCTGCCTCTTGGAGCTCCCAGCCCAGTGGCGGAGACAAACCAGTTCCAGACAGTGGTGACCCGGATAGGCAGGGCTGGGATGGGGGAGCCCAGGGGGGCCCCTGACCTGGCCTGGGGATCAGGGAGGGCTTCCTGGAGAAGGGAGCATCAGAGCTGAGATGGGAAAGACGGGAGGTACTCAGGCAGAGGGAACAGAACGGGCACATACTGAGAGAAGCCAGCTGGGCCTGAGAGAAGTGACAGGATGTGAGGGCAGGGGGTGGACCGGGCTGTAGAGCCAAACAGGCAGGGCCTTGTAGAGCATGGTGAGTAGGCCGGGCTTGCCCTGAGGGCACTAGGCAGCCATGGCAGGCTTTTGAGCTGGAGAGGGCAGGATCAGGTTCACATAAGAAAACCCCTCCAGCTGCTGTTTGGGTGGGAAAGGAGAGATTTGAAGCCGAGGTTGGGACTGGGGAGGAGGGGTATGGCCTGAGATCAACACTGAAGCTCCAACACCCAGGAAGGAGCTGGGGGGGCCCAGGCAGGGAGGCGATGTGGCCTCACCCGGGAGACGAAGTCCTGCTCCAGCTTCTCCATCAGGAGGTCCGCCGGCTTCTGCTCGTAGGCCTTGTACGTCTCCAGGTAGCGCCCGGCCTCCTCGGGGCTGGGGGAGAGGACATTTCAGTCAGCCAGGCTGATGGGGCTGTTTTAGATTCACTGCCTTATAGTAGGAGCAACTGCTGATGCTAGAAATTCCAAACTCTAGGACTAGATAGAAAAATGAACCCCCTGGCCTAACCCCCGCGGGGCACATCTTTACACATCTCTTCTGGCCGAGGGCCACCGCTCCGGAGCCTGACCAGCCCACTTCCCACCTCAGAGCCCCTGGGCCAGTGATTTTAATCTCTAGGCCTCAGTTTCCTCATCTGTAAAGTGGGGTAGATGGTAGACCTGGGACAAAAATGAGTCAAGTGCCCAGAACCGTCCCTGGCACTTAGAAGCCTGTTTAAGAAATGTTAGCCCAGTCATGTAGTGGTTTGCATGCTCTGCTTTGGCAGCCCGGGGTTCACAAGTTTGGATCCCGGGCACAGACATAGCACCACTCGTCAAGCCATACTGTGGCAGCATCCCACATAAAATAGAGGAAGACTGGCACCGATTTTAGGTCAGCGACAATCTTCCTCAAGCAAAAAGAGGAAGATTGTCAACAGATGTTAGCTCAGGGCCAATCTTCCTCACCAAAAAAAAAGAAGAAGAAGAAGGAATGCTAGCTATTCTGGAAGCGAAGTCAGTGGAGAGTGTTTGCAGCAGGTTTGAGAGGGAGAAAACCCAGAAATACTGTTTATTTTCCCAGCTGCAGGAACACAATCTCATGAAGCATTCAGCTCCCCACCACCAAGGAAAATGGGGCTTTTAAAGGTTTTTCATATAGCACACCTTCAAAAGGAGAGCCAGGGTGCTGATGGCTGAATCTTTTATAGCAATTAACACGATTTCCTAATCGCCATTCATTTCACATGAGGTACTGTTTTTCACATGTAATTAACTGTTTCAAAGGTAGTCAAAACAACTAAATCATAAAAAGGGACTCTGTGTAAAGTGACTCAAGTTTATTAGCACCAGGAAAATGCTAGCCTTTTTCCTCTCTGTAACTTGAGAATAGCGCCGTCAGTGGAAGTAAATCAAGTATTTGTCCTGAAGAATTTTCTTCAAAGTCTAGCTAGTAAGCAATGTTTTTTTTTGTTTGTTTTTTGTTTTGTTTTTGGTGAGGAAGATTGGCCCTGAGCTAACATCTGTGCCCATCTTCCTCTCATTTGTGTGGGACGCTGCCACAGCGTGGCTTGATGAGTGGTGCTAGGTCCACGCCCAGGATCCGAACCTGCGAACCCCTGGCCGCCAAAGCAGAGCACACAAACTTAACCACTATGCCACCGGGCCAGCCCCTCTTCTCTTTGTGCCTGTAATTTGTCAGGATTTAATTCTTTTTCAAGAGTGAGAAAGGCTTCTCTTTTTTTCCAATTGGAGAGCCAATCTCAATGGTCTTTAGAAACCTAAACATGGAATTAATTATTCAACCAGATTGTACGTCTGACTCAGCAGCGCCCAGGATGGTCCTGGGAATTTGAGCTACGTCCCCTGCTTTTGTGCCTACAACCCTACAAGAAAGAGGTTAAGACCCTGTTTTACAGATGAAGAAACAGGCCCAGAGAGAGGCAGAGCGTGGCCCAGGCTCACACAGGGAGCTCTGGGGAGGAGGAGGGAGGGGCTGGGAAGGTGGGGGAAGGGCAGTGACTCAGGACAGAGCCTGACTGGGCGGGAGCCTCGCTCTCACCTCCAGGCAAGGACCAGCGTGCAGTCGGCCAGGATGCACATCTTCGCCAGCACCTTGAGAGCCTGCTGAGGATCTTTCTGGATGGAGAAGAAAATCAGAAGGAGAGATCTGGGAGAAAGCAAGGAATTATGGTCTTGAAAACACAGGATGCCGAGAACCTTCCACTCAGCCAACGCTCCTTAAGCTCTGACTGGGCGCCCGGCCTGTGCTAGGCAGTGCCGGGACCAGCAGCGACTGAGACAGCCCTGGCTCTGCCCTCCCGGCACCCACAGTCTGATGAGACCCGTCCCCCATGAGGGATGATCCAGAGTGGCCAGGGCTGGGGCGGGGGAGCCAGAGGAGGGTCTGTCCCACCTGGGAAATCAGGGAGAGCTTCCTGGAGGAGGGGACACCTGAGCTGAGACTTGAAGGACGATGAGGAGGAGTGAAGGCGGCAGAGGAGAGGAGAACAGGGAACTCCAGACATAGGGAACAGCACACACAGAGGATGCGAGGGGAAAGGCTTGAGGAGTTGCAGTTCACTCAGGATGGGACAGAGGATGGGGACGAAAGGGTGATCACAAGGAAGCTTAGAAATGAGCCCAGAGAGGTGGGCGGGGGTCAGACCACACAGGGCCGCACGGGCCATGGAGGGCACTGGGGAGCCATGGAGGGTTTGACTTCAGATCTGTGCTTTAGAAAGACCTCTCTGGCTGCTGTAAGGATGGGAGGGGTTGAGGCTGGAGGCCACGAGGCCAGGGAAGAGGCTGGGGCAGGGACCAGGAGGGACAGGAGGGGGCCTGGATGGGGCCGGGCTGTGAGGATAGAGAGGGTGACACAGATTCAAGACACACTGAGGTGGCAGAGGACCAGGACTAGTAGAAGGGGGTGCAGAGGAGGAGAAGATGGCTCATTCTCCTCCGCCTCCTTGCCGACACAGGGTGTCAATCTCAGATGTGACAAATGGACCCTCTCTGAAGTTTCAACGTGCGTTTCTCCTTGGAGGGGGTTCGACCGTCCACTTGAGCCCAACAAGCCCATTTCACAGACGGGGACAGGGCGGCCGGCGGCGGAGTGACCCCCGCTTACCACGTCCACCTGCACGAGCAGGACCCGCAGGGCGAAGCTCTTCCCCAGGGTCTGCAGCCGCTGGTGGATGTAGTCGGGGTGGAGGTTGTGGTAGCGGAGGCTGCGGGCAGGGAGAGGACGGGCTGGGAGGTCTCGGGCTCCCCGACACCCCGGGAGCCCTTCTTCACGCTCACGGGGACGCAGAGGGCCTGGGCGGCACAGGGGACAACCCTGCCAGGATCAAGGCTCAGAGAAGTCAAGTGACTTGCCCAAGGAAGGGGCACAGCGGGGTTTGGCAGCGAGGGCCACTCGGAAGGGTGGACCCCGGGTTCTTCCCTGAGGAAGGAAAGGGACTGGGGCTTCCGGTGGAGAAGAGCAGGCCAGTGCCCTAGAGAGCAGACGCTGCCCAGCTGGGCTTGGGAGGCAGGGCCCATTCCTGGACTGTCTGCTGGGGCCTCAAGGGCCTCACCCCGCAGGGAAGACGGGAACTGAGAAGTTTCACTTCCCCTGTCTGGAGAGTGAAGGAGAAACTTGTTTAATGGCTGTGGAAGTTAGAGAAGTCCTGGCTCCAGTCCTGGACGTCTGGGGCGTGAGTGACCCCGCCCCTCCTCCCTCAGACCCAGGAGTCCATCCCCCAGCCCCTCCTCCCTCAGACCCAGGGGTCCATCCCCCAGCCCCTCCTCCCTCAGACCCAGGGGTCCATCCCCCAGCCCCTCCTCCCTCAGACCCAGGAGTCCATCCCCCAGCCCCTCCTCCCTCAGACCCAGGGGTCCATCCCCCAGCCCCTCCTCCCTCAGACCCAGGGGTCCAGCCCCCAGCCCCTCCTCCCTCAGACCCAGAGGTCCAGCCCCCAGCCCCTCCTCCCTCAGACCCAGGAGTCCAGGCCCCCAGCCCCTCCTCCCTCAGACCAGGGGAACAGGCCCCCAGCCCCTCCTCCCTCAGACCCAGGGTCCATCCCCCTGCCCCCTCCTCCCTCAGACCCAGAGCCTGGGCCCCCAGCTCTTGTTGCTCTGGGCACCTCTAGGCCAAGATCTCTCCCTCCCACACAGGGTCACCTAGGCCCAGAGCCGGCAGGGCCATGCCCAGAGGTCTGCCACCCATGGCCCAGAACACTGGAGCAGAGCCCGCCCAGGCCACCTTGGAAGGTGGCGCAGCCCCCAGAGCTCACCTGAGGAAGAGGGCACAGGTGCTCTGGCCCAGCACGTAGTCGGGAAGCACGTCACCAAATTCCCAGGGCACATTGCGCACGAACTTCAGCACGGGGTTGCCCCTCTGGGGAGCGAGGAAGGACCGAAGCCATTAACAGGGTGACCCTGGGACCACCGCCACCCCAGGGTGCCCCTCCCCCCACCTCTTCTCAACACCTCCCCGCCCTCCTCCTGCCTGGTGCCTGGGGCTTCCCCAGCTTCGCTCTCCTCCTCTCCCCAGACTTCTCCTCCTCAGCCTGGAATGTTCTTGGTGCTGGAGCTCTGACCTAGGCCCCTCCCCGCAAGCCCCAGGCTTCACTAAAGGGGCTCTGGGTCCCTCTCCAGCTCAGCCCTCTCCCCCAGCTCCAACCTGTGTGTGCCATGGTCCTCAGGACACCTGTCCCTGGATGGCCACCTCACTGTACCCAAACTGCCCTTAGCAATGGCCCCCACACCTGCCCCTCCTCCCGGCCCCGTCTCAGGGCCAGCCCCACCGTCCAGAGACCCAGGCCTTGTCCTGGATGCTTCCTTAAGCATAAAGCTGCCTCTCCCTTGCTCTAAACTCTGCAATGGCTCCCCAGCGCCCTCAAGAGGACGCTGCTCACCGTGGCCTGTGACCCTCCCCAGAGTCAGCACCACCCCCAGCAAGCCTGGCACCTGCTCAGCAGGCTCCTCGCTCTGAACACCCCTCACCCTGTAGCCCAAGACAGAAGTTCTTTGAACAAGTCAAGCTCTAAGCCATTCAGTGGGTATGTGAGTGCCTGCTGGGTTCCTAAGTTCTGGGATACACTGTAACCAAGACAAAGATCGTGACCCTCATGGGGACACAGGGAGGAAACAAGAGTCTCCGGGAGGAACGTGTAATTACCGGGTGAAGTGGCATTCTGCTGTCATAAGGGTCGGGATCTGCCTTCATGGGGTGTGGGATGGTCAGAGTGGCTGGGATGGGAAGGGTCTGCAGGGGTCCCAGGTCCCACAGGCCCTGGGCCATCTGACCTGTGGCACCCGGGAGCCATGGAAGGGTTTCAGCAAGGGAGGGGCGGGATCCAATTTTAATCTTTAAAGGATTATTCTGTCACACCCTCTAGAATGGCCAAAATAAATAAAGACAGTCAATGACAAATGGCAAGGATACAGCAAAAGTGGGACCTTCATATGCTGTTGGTGGGAATGCAAAATGCTGCAGCCTTTTAGAAAACAGTTTGGGAGTCCCTGAAAAAGTTAAACATGTGGGGCCGACCCCGTGGCTGAGTGGTTAAGTTCGCGTGCTCCGCTGCGGCAGCCCAGGGTTTCGCGGGTTCGGATCCTGGGTGCGGACATGGCACTGCTCGTCAAGCCACACTGAGGCAGCGTCCCACATGCCACAACTAGAAGGACCTGCAACTAAGATATACAACTATGTACCAGGGGGGATTTGGGGAGATAAAGCAGGAAAAAAAAAAAAAAAGATTGGCAACAGTTGTTAGCTCAGGTGCCAATCTTTAAAAAAAAAAAAAGTTAAACATAGTGTTAGCATATGATCCAGCCAATCCACTCCTGGACATACACCCATGAGAACTGGAAACATACGTCCACATGAAAACCCGTACACAGCCTTCACAGCAACATTTCACATAACCAAAAAGTATGAACAACCCAAATGTCCATTAATGGAAGAATGGATAAACAAAATGCAGTATATCCATACAAGGGAATACTACTCAGCCATGAAAAGGAAGGAAGCGCTGATCCAGGCTACAACGTGGAGGAAGCTTGACAGCGTTAAGCTGATGGAAAGACGCCAGTCATCAGTTGACACATAGTGGGTTGTTTCCACTTTTTGGCGACTGTGAACAATGCTGCTGTGAACATATGTGTACGGGATTTTGTGTGGACGTATATTTTCATTTCTCTTGAATATATACATAGAAGTGAAGCTCTGGGTCATAAGGTAACGCTACGTTTAAATGTTTGGGGAGCTGCCAGACCGTTTTCCACAGCGGCTGCACCATTTTCCATTCCCACCAGCAGTGATGGGGGTTCCAATTTCTCCACCCCCTCATCACTCTTTTTTTTTTTTTTTTTGAGGAAGATTAGCCCTGAGCTAACTACTGCCACTCCTCCTCTTTTTGCTGAGCAAGACTGGCCCTGAGCTAACATCCATGCCCATCTTCCTCTACTTTATATGTGGGACGCCTGCCACAGCATGGCTTGCTGAGCATTGCCATATCCGCACTCGGGATCCCAACTGGCGAACCCCAGGCCGCCAAAGCAGAAGGCGCGAACCCAACCGCTGCGCCACCGAGCCGGCCCCAACCCTCACACTCTTGTTATGGTTTGTCTTTTTGATTCTAGCCATCCTAGTGGGTGTGAAGCGGGATCTCAGTATGATTTTGGTTTGCATTTCCCTGATGGCTGGCGATACGGAGCATCTTTTCACGTCCTTGAGTCCTATTATTATCTTCGTACACCACTGCTCTCCCCGTCCAGAATGCCAGCTCCATCGATGGCAGGGACGTTATCTGCTGCCTGCCGGTCCCTCTATCCTCAGAGCTAGAGGAGCACCTAGCACCCTCCAAACATGTCTGTCCGCTGTTAAGTGGAGGAACCCCCATTTTAAAGGCACAGCTGGGTTAAGCCACTTGCCCAAGATCACACAGCTACTGTGTGGCAGAGCAGGATTTGAACTCGGGCCTGTGGTCAATAAATAGTTTTTGAATAAATGAACAAACCCTGGGACAGGAAATGGAGCTGCACTAACCCCCAACGAGAAGAGTTGGGGTGCTGTCCACTGAATGTGTGTCTCCCCCAAATTCAGAGGGTGAAATTCTAACCCCCAGTGTGATGGTACGAGGAGGTGAAGGGAGGTGATTCGGTCGTGAGGGTGGAGCCCACAGGAATGGGATCCGAGCCCTTACGGAAGACGCCCCACAGAGCTGCCTTGCCCCTCCCCCTACGTGAGGACACGGAGAAGATGGCCGTCCAGGAACCAGGAAGTGGACCCTCACCAGACTCGGTCCGCTGGGGCCTCGATCTTAGACTCTCAGCCTCCAGAGCTGCGAGAAATATGTTCGCTGTTTAAGCCACTCAGTCCGTGGTATTTTTGTCATAACGGCCTGAACGGACTGAAACATGGGGCATCCTCAACCCACACACAGTATTTGAATGAATGAATGAATGAATGAATGGCGCTGCCGAGAACAAAGTGGCTGGAGCTCAGACCTCCTTCCACTGCCCACGAGAAAGCCATCCCCCTGACAGTGTTTCCCACCAGAAACCTCAACCCCACTTCTCCCCCGCCCTCCTCACCTGCCGGGGGCTCACAATGATGCTGTTGGATTTTGCCCCCGGTTTGGGGGCCTGGTTGGGGGTCTCTCCTGCCAGGGGTTCCGGTCCCGTGGGGCCAGCCCCTCCTGGAGGTCCTGAGATGGCATACTCAGCATAGGTCTGAGGGGCTGGCGGGGGCGAAGTCTCCATGGTGGGAAGGCTCCGTGTGGATTTGAATAAGGGCTTGGCCTGTGGGGAGAGAAGGGGGGGCATTCAAAATCTGAACCTAGCCGCTTCTCCCCACCTCCTCGGCCTCTTCCAGGGTCCCAGCCACCATCTTCTCTGCCTTGGACCACTGCAGTCGCCTCCTCACCAACCCCCTGCCCCTGCCCTTACACCCCACAGTCTGTTCCCCACACTAAGTCATATCATGTGCCACCTCTGCTCAGAGCCCTTCGGTGGCTCCTGCCTCAGAGTAACGCCAAAGCTGTCACCATAGCCCGCAAGATGCTTGAAGATCTGTCCCCTGCCTCAAGGACTTCACCTCCAACCTCATCCCCATGGCTTTCTCTACTCCAGTCCCACTGGCCTTCTTCCTGCTCTCAAACTTGTCAGGTTCTCTCTGACCTCAGGGCCTTTGCACTGGCTGTTCTCGCTCCCCAAGATGTTACATAGCTCACTCCCTCACCTTTTTCACATCTCTGCGAAGATGTCACCTCCTCAGAGAGGCCTCCCTTGATTGTCCTATCTAAGGTAGCTCGTCTCCCCCATCACACCCTATATCCTTAGCCTGCTTTCTTTTTTTTCACAGCACATAGGTGGCAGCCAGTACTCAGCACAAGCTGATTGTGTTCCTGTGGGAATGAGATCTCAGTGTTGCCAGGTCCTTGGATTTACCAAAAGATGTCAAAAGTGCACACTTTTTTTTAATTGCGAAATCTCCCAATTCTTAAATGTCAGCAATAAATTCATGCCTTGCAGAACCAGGCATGGCCACATAAAACACAGCCCCGGCCCAGTCGCTGGCTGCCACCTTACAGCCTCTGCCTTAGCCCTCCTAACCATGACATTTTACAGATAGGGGAATTGAGACTTGCACAGGGCAAGGGGCTATTTTCCCAAGGTGACTCACGCCCCAACATTTCCCAAACCCACGCTGTGGCCGCACAGGCCCGTTCCTGGCCCCCTTCCTCCCAACAGCCCCCCTCAGCCTCCCAGCGGCGCCCCCATCTCCTCGTCCTACCCCCGCAGGAGGGACCTCATCCTCGTCCAGAGGTATGAGGAATTTCTTTCTTGTGGGTGGCCCAGCGGGCTGCCGCACTGCCTCTTGGTCCATCCCAAGGTCCTCCTGGGGCCTGAAAATGAAGACGTGGCGGCAGGTGCGAGTGAGACATCGGCGTGGGAATGTCCCCCACGCCTGAACCCCTGCTCACAGCCATCTCCCCCCCACCCCCAAAATCCCAGGGCCCTATAGCATCCAGTTCCAAGCAGCCAGCGCCGCAGGGTCTCTAAGGCCCCGCCCCAGCGAGCCTCCAGCTTTGGCTAGCCCCGCCCCTTACCGGTCCACAGGTTCCACTCGCCCCGCCCCTCAAGGCCTCCACGATCTCTTCGCCCCGCCCCCACTGTTTCCCGCCTTCCGCTCGCCGGGCCCCTCCGTCCGCCCCGCCCCCAGGGCTCGCACCCGGATGCCCACCCACACTTGGCTCCATCCCGTCCGGCTCGCAGACACTGCAACGACTGATTGGCCTCCGCGGCTGCCAGTCGCCCCCGACCGCCCCCGCCCCGCGCACCCCAGCCCTGCTGTCTGAGCGCCGCGGGGACTCACCTCCTCGCCCCCGAGCCGCGACGAAAAGACCGGAGGGGGGATCGAGGCGTCCCACCGCCGGCGCGGCCAGCGCGGCCCCAGGCTCGCTGCACTTCCGGCCTCTCTAGCCCTCGAGCCCGCCCTCGCCGTTCCCCAGAGGGCGAGGCCGTCGGGAGGCGCGGCCCCGCGCAGCTCTCTATGGTCCTGGAGGACTGCGGAAGTTTGGGTTGGAGAGAGCGGGGGTTCCAGGGGCCTGAGGGTCTTGGTTGCCCAGCGGTTCAGTTTCAGTTGAGCGCCTCTTGTTTGCCTGGGCTCTGGGCAGGCTCAGTGGAGAAGAGATGGCGGGAGATCCAACCAGGTCCCTCCTCTCAGTACAGATGGCTTTGAATCCCAGCTCTACCAGTGACTTGGCCTCAGTTTCCCCATTCATTCATTCATTCCACACATATCCCCGGAGCGCCCCCTCTGTTCCCGGTGCCGTGCGGGGCGGTCCTAGTGACAGATCGGTGACCAACAGATAGCCCCGCGTAGTCCCCCTGGAGCTGGCAGTCCAGTGGGAGAGACAGCCCTGTTCCCAAACAGCGAGGACGCGGACCGGGCACGGCTGCGATGGGAGACCCCAGAGGGCCGCGGCGGGGGTGGGCAGGTGGGGGCGTGGGGGGACCTAACCCAGCCCTACGGTCAGGAAGGGACATCTGAGCTGAGACCTGGCTGATGACTTAGTGTTAGTCATTTCCTGAAAGGACCGTACGTATCACACTGTTCTAACTTGCCACTCTCTGATTACTAAGAGAACATTTTTTTGTGAGTTTATTGCTCTTGTATATTTTGCCTTCTGTGAATTGCTTGCTCATATCCTTTGCCCATTTTTTAAACGGGGTTTTATGCCTTTTTTATTACTGTTCCTCTGTAGGAACACTATTTGGATTCGATTCTAATTCTTAGTCAGTTACCTAGGTTCCAAATATTTCCTCCTAGTTAGTTGGCATTTCAACTTTGTTTCTTTGTTTATTTTCGTCACACAGAAGTTCTGAATGTTTCTTCGCACCTATTTATCGATCTATTCCATCCTGACTTTTGCTTTTGGTGTGTTGTTTAAGAGGCCTGCCCTACCCCGAGGGCATAAATGTATTCTATCATTTTTAAAAATACTTTCCTAGTTTTGATTTTGTTTCTGTCTTTAATCCATGTGAGACCTATTTCTGAAAATTCGCTAAGATAGGAATTTATGGTGGATGTAGCAAATTATCCCGATACCATTTATTTAAAAAGTCAATCTGTTCCCCAGTTTTAATACTCCACCTTTATCATCTACCAAATTTCCTTATATACACAGGTCTATTTTGGACATTTCTATTATGTTTCACTGATCTCTATATTTGTTCCCTGCCTCTGTGCCATACTGTTTATTTTCTTTTGATCTGTTCTGATATCATATCAGGCAAGTCCCCCCTTCTGTTCAGTTTCAATCTGTTTTTACCATTCTTGTACATGTCCTCTTCTAGACGGATTCTAGCAGCTGCTTTTCTAATTCCATGAAAACTCCCATTGGGATTGAGACTGGAATGGCATTGAATTGATGAACTCATTACAAGAAGATTGACATCTTTTCCATATCCATGAACAGGTCTCTTCTCTTTCCATCAATTCAGCTTTTGCTAGGAGCCCACTGTCAATGATTTTTTTCTAATTAATTTTTATTTATACAATTGATTCATGAACATGTTTTTGGATTTTCTTCCTGGGATTGCTGGGGGGCACAAACTGGGGGGCTTAAATTACAGAAATTTATTGTCTCGGTTCTGGAGCCTGGAAGTCCAAAATCAATGGGTTGGCAGGGCCAGCCTCCCTCTGGATGCCTTAGGGAAGGACCCGTTCCAGGGCTCTCTGAGCTTCCGGTCCTCGGGCATTCCTTGGCTTGTCAATGGCCATCTTCTCCCTGTGTCTCTTCACGTGGTCTTCCCTCTCTGTGAGTCTGTGTGTGTCCAAATGTCCCCCATTTCATAAGGACACCCGTCCTATTGGAGTAGGGCCCATGCTAGTGACCTTATTTTAACTTGGTTATCTCTGTAAAGACCTGATTTCCAAATAAGGTCGCATTCTGAAGTACTGGGGGTTAGGACACATCTTTTCTGAGGCACACAAATCAAGCCAGAACCATTCCCTGTTGCTTTTTATAACTTTCCTCCTTCTGAATTCATTCTACTTCTCGGAAGCGTCCATTCTCTTCTAATTCTTTCAGAGAGCGTGGTGGATAGCAACTTTCGGAGTCGTGCTCATCTGAAAATATCTTTATTTCACCCTCACCTGGATTCTCAGATTCTGGGTTCCGAGGTATTTTTCTTGCAAAGTTAGAAGATATTGGTCCTCCAGCTCCCTGACTTCCGGATCGCTGATGAGAAGTGTACCATCCCTTTCATTCTCCTTCCTTCATAAACAGTCTTGTCACTGGGTGTAATTGTCCCCTGGGGTCACTTGCTAGCGTTGTGACCTTGTGCCAGCAACTCAGCTTCTCTGTGTCAGTTTGCTCATCTCTAAAATGGGATAACAAGAGTATAATTGTTAGGAGGATGAAATGAGTTATGTGTAAAGCGTCTAAAACTGTACTTGGCACACAGTAGGTGCTATATTTGAGTTTGTCATATAAATAAAATAGCCCTTGACTAGTCCTGGGCAGGCAGGAGCTGTTGTGCCTGCCGATGACTCTCAGTGCCCCTACATAGGGCCGGGCACCCAGAAGGAGCTGCCAAACCTAGTGTTGTGTGAATGAACAAAGAACAGACGCCAAGCCCTAAGGCAAGTGACTGCACCGCTGGGAGCCTCAGTTTCCCGATCTGTAACTGCGGAGGTGGTGAGGATTCAGTGGGACCGCGGAGATCTGGCTTGAGACGGACTGGTTCACGCATTCCTTGAAGAACTGCGGGTGGAGCGCCTCCTACCTACCAGGCCCTGCGCACAGAGCTGCGAGCCAGGCGCACCACGTCCCCGCCCTGTGGGGCTGACGTTCTCGCGGGGGACGCAGACCACAAGAAGGAAACTCACAAAGAAGAGAGTCTCCGAAAGCCGCACGTGCTGTGAAGAGGATGAAACGCAGTGCTGTGAAGCAGGGGCCGCGGGAGGGGGCCTCACGAGCACAGGAAGGAAGGCTCTCTGAATAGTAAGAAACATTGCCATCCACTAGATTATAACCTAAATCGATGGGGGCCTCGCAAGGACCCTCCCCGGAGGCATCATCTGCTCATTTGACAGGTGAGGGAACTGAGGCCCCAGCGACGTCGAGAAGGACCGTAGGAACGCGTCTCTGCATCCAAGGGCAGAGCGCGTTTCTAGAAGGAGGGCCAGCCTAGGCGGGCCTCAGTTTCTCCGGTTGGGCACTGCCACTGCCAAACGAGCCTGCAACTCATGCCTCTTGCGCCAGGGGGCGACGGCGCCCCACAAGCGGATTGAGGTGTCGGTGCCCAGGAGCTGCTTGGCCAGAGCCCACCAGGGACACGACCCCCGAGACGGCGGGGGGCGGCCCCTTCACTTTCCCCGCCCGGTGCGGCTAATGTAACTCCGAGCCCGGCGACATTAGTTAAGGGGGGTAGGGGGACTCGGTTCTACATATTCCCAAGTTTGATTTCTGCACCCCATTCCCAGATCGCACTTTCGGATCCCGATTCCCAGATCGCCCCTTCGGGTCCCGGATGCGAGTCTTGCGGGCTCCCGGCGTCGCGAGTTCGAATCTGCCGGCTGCCGCGCTCCGGTTCCGCGTGCTCCTTCCAGACGCAGCCGCAGCCCCGGTCCCCGGGGGGCTCCTGAGTCCGGCCGTCTCCCTCCCCAGCCCTCCCCGGACCCGCTTCCAGTGTCCTCCGCGCCTCGGAAGCGGGCGGGTGGGGATGGAGACTCTGGGGACCCCCGCCCCTAATTCTGGCTAGGGGCTCCGCGCTGGGGGGCGCAGAGCCGCCGGGCCGAAGGCTCTGGAAGCGCGGGCGCGGCAGAGAGGCGCAGTGACCGGACCGGCGTCCCCACCCGCCTCTAAACTTAGCCGCGGTGACGCGCGGCCCGGCGATCGCGGCTGGGCCGGGGACTCAGGGGGGCCCGAGCGGAGGGGGGCGGCTCCGCTCGGCGAGCCTCTATTTATAGCGCCCGGAGCCCGAAATAGCGCGGAGCCGAGCGGCCGGGATGACGCGGGAGCCGCCGGGGGCTGACTCACCCGGCCCCGAGCGGGCGGCCCCCGGATGAGGGGCAGTGGAAGCGCCTGGCCCGGACCCCACGCCCTCCAGGGCAACTCTTCTGCTGGGACATCCCGAGTGTCCAGAGGTCACTGTGGATGGATGTGCAGCAAAAGGGAGGATCTGCAGCACGCGGGACTGAGGTTAGACCAGAGGTGGGACTTCCCCCAAAGAGCCCAGAATCCAGGAACTAACTTTATACAAGAAAAGGGGTTGGGAAGGAAGGGAGATGATCCAGACCTAAGACCTGTTTCTCACCAGCAACAGGACTGAGACTTCTTGGGGGCAGAGGAAAGGACACAGTAACCTGGGCAGTCGCCAGGCCAGAACACATCCCCTTCTCCACTTGCTATGGCTCCTTGCATGCTGTTCCCACCCCCTCCACAGCCCTTCCCTGCCTCCTCGGTCTTAACAACTCCTGCTCCTCAGGGACCTGGTGCTAAGAGCAATCCCTCACTAGTAAAATCTTTGTGACCCACTGAATGGGGAGCCCCAGGAGGGCAGGGCCAGGCCCTTCTTAGTTATCGCCATGTCCCCAGCACTGCCCAACACAAGACAGGCCACTGGAGAAATTAATTGCATGAATAAAAAGTGTTGGTGATTAAATAAAATGACATTTTCCAAATTATCACAGCAAATGTTTGTCGTATGCCACATGCCAGGCGTGATTCAGAGAGTTCTCTCCTGTGGGTCCTGCTACAGCCCCAGGAGGGAGAGGCGTTTATTATCTTCATCAGTCCCCCACCCCCGTGAGAGATGAAGAAACCGAGGCTCAGAGGGTATCTGAGCTCACCTTGCTTGGGGTCACAGCTGTCCCCTGAACCAGGTCGCCTAGCCCCCAAGGTGTTCCGTTCTCAAGATACGGTCTCTAGGCCCTACAGACCCCAAAGCTAAGGAGGGATTCTCAAAGTGCAGTCACAGAGGCTCCCCAGGACTCTTTCCAGGGGTCCCCGAGGTCAAAATGACCATCCTAATACTATGAAGCCACTTACTCACCTTTTTCACTCTCTCTTCACGAGCAGACAGTGCAGCCTGCGCAACACAAGAGACGCAGCACATACGCAGGTGAGAGGACCCAGCTGTCTTCTGTTGAGCCAGACAAAGTGATTTGCAAAAATTTACAACAGTGCCCCTCTTCTCACCAAACGCTTTTTTTTTTTTGAGGAAGATTAGCCCTGAGCTAACATCTGCTGCCAATCTTCCTCTTTTTGCTGAGGAAGACTGGCCCTGAGCTAACATCCATGCCCACCTTCCTCTACTTTATATGTGGGATGCCTACCACAGCATGGCTTGATGAGTGGTGCCATGTTCCCACCCAGGATCCGAACCTCGAACCCCCAGCCACTGAAGTGGAATGTGTGCACTTAACCGCTGCACCACCAGGCTGGCCCCATCACCAAACTTTTTTTTTTGTTTTGGAAAATATGGTTTTGGTTTTTGTTTTTTGGTGAGGAAAATTGGCCCTGAGCGTTACATCTGTGCCAGTCTTCCTGTATTTTATGTGGGACGCCGCCACAGCATGGCTTGATGAGCCGTGTGTAGGTCCACACTAGGGATCTGAACCTGCGAACCCTGGGCCACTGAAGCAGAGTTCACGAACTTAACCACTACGCCAACAGGCCAGCCCCCAAAATATGGTAATTTTTAATTAAGATGATATGATTTATGTTAACATGAAATTGTTTTTTGTTATTTTTAAATGAATCAATAAATATTTCTTAAATTTCCAATACAGTGAATATTGATAGATATAATCCACATCAACAAAAACTCTTTGGGGTCCTTAATAATTTTTAAGAGCATAAGGGGGCCTGTGGCCAAAGAGTTTAAGAATCTCTGAACTAGGGGCCGGCCTGGTGGTGCAGCAGTTAAGTGCGCACGTTCCGCTTCAGCGGCCCGGGGTTTGCTGGTTCAGATCCTGGTGTGGACATGGCACCGCTTGGCAAGCCATGCTGTGGTAGGCGTCCTACATATAAAGTAGAGGAAGATGGGCGCAGATGTTAGCTCAGGGCCAGTCTTCCTCAGGAAAAAAAAAGAGGAAGATTGGCAGCAGAAGCTCAGGGCTAATCTTCCTCCAAAAAAAAAAAAAAAAGAATCTCTGAACTAATAATCATATAAACCTAAGTGTCAGGAAGGACAAGAATGTGGGGACATCATTTATGGGAGGGCAGCGGAGGTTTGTCTGTCAAAGGAGCAGTTAAAAAGAGACTTAAAGGATGATGGAGTCTGCTAGGTGAAGGGAGGGAGAGCTTTCAAGGCAGCAGGAGCAGCTTGTGCAAAGTCCCTGTGGTGGGAAATTCCTTGGTGAGTTTTAGGAACACAAAGCAGGCCCTTGTAGCTGAAGCAGAGGAAGCGAGGAAAGGAGTGGCAAGAAATGAGGCTGGACAATCAAGAGATGAGATCGTGTAAGGCCTTGAAGGCCGTGGTAAGTATCATGGATTTCATTCCAAGTGGAGCAAGGATGGAAGCAGGAGGCCCAGCAAGGAAGAGACTGCAGCTGTCCTGGGAAGATCAGATCAGCCTGGACTGGGGTGCTGGGGAGTCAAGAAGGCGGCTTGGGTCTGCGGGACTGGCAGTAACATGAACCAGAAGAGCAGAATGAGAAGAAGCCTGAGAATTCTGAGGCTGGGAGAAAGCTTTGAGACAGCCCAGTGGGAACGTCCAGGAGACAGGAGGGAGCGCTGGGCTCAAGACTGAAATCTGAGAACCATCAGTGTATGTGTAGATGGTATTTTTCAAGTTTATTAACTCCTTATTTCTATTATAATTTCTAGCTGACTAATGCTATTAAATATTGGTGGCTGACCTTCTAACAGGCAATCTGGCCAAATTCTCATATTAAAACAGTCTGTGGATTCTCTTAGTTTTGCCTTGAAAATGATCCAGGGCTGGTCCTGTGGCCGAGTGGTTAAGTTTGCGGGCACCGCTTCGGCGGCCCAGGGTTTCCCCAGTTTGGATCCTGGGGGCAGACATGGCACCACTTGTCAGGCCATGCTGAGGCGGCATCCCACATGCCACAACTAGAAGGACCCACAACTAGAATCTACAACTACATACTGGGGGCCTTTGGGGAGAAGAGTAAAAAAAAAAAGGGGACCGGCCCGGTGGTGCAAGGGTTAAGTTTGCACATTCCACTTCTCGGCAGCCTGGGGTTCACTGGTTCAGATCCCGGTAGGAACATGGCACCGCTTGTCAAGCCATGCTGTGGCAGGCATCCCACGTATAGAGTGGAGGAAGATGGGCATGGATGTTAGCTCGGGGCCAGTCTTCCTCAGCAAAAAGAGGAGGATTGGCAGCAGATGTTAGCTCAGAGCTGATCTTCCTCAAAAAACAAAAGAAGATTGGCAACGGTTGTTAGCTCAGGTGCCAATCTTCAGGAAAAAAAAAAGATCCAAATGACAGTTTTATCTCCTGCCTTCTGATCTTTACCTCTCATTTATTTTTCTTGTCTTATAGTATTTGCAGAGACTTCCAGGATTATGTCACATGGTAAAGTTGATCAATGCTCACATACTCCACATGGCAACCTTCTGAGATGACTTATCCTGTTCTTTTCATTTTAGAGAGGGAAAAACTAAAGTACAGAGAGGTTCGTCTCTTGCCTAAGGCCACACAGCAAAGAAGCAACCAAACCAAACTGAAGCTTATGTTCTCCACCACTGGGGCCGGCCCGGTGGCATAGCGGTTAAGTTTGCACATTCCTCTTCCTGGTGGCCTGGGGTTCACTGGTTCGGATCCTGGGTGCAGACATGGCACCGCTTGGCACGCCATGCTGTGGTAGGCATCCCACATATAAAGTAGAGGAAGATGGGCACAGATCTTAGCTCAGGGCCAGTCTTCCTCAGCAAAAAGAGGAGGATTGGCAGTAGTTAACTCAGGGCTAATCTTCCTCAAAAAAAAAGAGAAAATTCTGTATGTTTTCAAGAGGCAAAATACTCTGCAAGTTTCCACAGAGACCCCTTGAGCTGGGGGCCTGAGGTCTAGTTCCGGCCCCGCCCTCTTTCCCAGCCTCAGTTTCCTCCTGTGAGGGAGGGCTGGAGGAGATGGTATCTGAAAGCCATAGAAACTCTGCCTTCAGGGTGGAGGAGGCAGGCCCCCAAACAGATTGTATTCATTTCCTGTGCTGCTGTAACAAATTACTACCAACTTGGTAGCTTAAAACAAAAGAAATTTATTCTCTGGAGGCCGGAAGTCCTAAATCAAAGTGTCAGCGGAGCCACCCTCCCTCCAAAGGTTCTGGGGAGGATCCTGCTCTTCTCCTCCAGCCTCTGGCGGCCTCAGGCGCCCTTAGCTTGGCTGCCTCACGCAGTCTCTGCCTCCATCTTCACGTGGCGTCTCTTCTGCTCTGTGTCCCGTCGCCCTCTGCCTTTCTCGTCTAAGGATGCTTGCTGTCAGGTTCAGGGCCTGTCCTGATAATCCAGGAGGAGCTCATCTGAGATCCTCACCTGAATAGCATCCGCAAAGACCCTTTTTTCAAAGAAGCTCACATGCACAGGTCTCAGGTGGACCCATCTGGGACGGGGGGGGGGGGGGGGGGGGGGGGGGGGGGGAGGTGGCGCACGCCATTCAAGTCACTGCACAGATTAGAACAGAAAAGTGAGGACCGGAGAACAGGCGGCAGCGTTGACACTGGGAGGCGGCCAAAGCTTTGGGATGGCGCAGGCCCGTTCCAGCAGGGACGGCGGGCACACTCGCCCTGGGGGACCCGGAGTGGCCCGTGCATCCCACACGCGTGTGACAAGTTGTGTGCGCCCCCATGGCCTGGGCATCCTCCACTTTGAGGATGAGAAGTTTTGCAAGGAGTGTTCATTCTTCAACTTTTCATGTGGACCCGAGAGATTTTCTCTTTCCTGAATCTCCAATCGGTAATAAAAGTCAACCCTCACACCGCCCTTAATATGTGCCAGGCCCTGTTCTCAGTGTTCCATGCTTATTCATTCGTTTAATCTTCACAACATCCCTCTGAGGCCTTGTGGGTGGTTCCCCTTTCAAGTTGGAGCTGCAACTTGCAAGTTCCAGAACTAGTATCTGAACCCCACAGTCTGGCTGCAGACTCCAGGGTCTTGACCGTAGCCACGCTGTCTCCTGGAGGCACACTGTCACCTGTTAAATCTGGACTTTGAGGAAGCCACCCTCCAGATCTCCGATGGCGCCATCATCCTCTTCTGCACGGTCGGATGTGGCAGCCACTTGTCCGCGTGTGGATCTTGAGAGCTTAAAATGTGGCTGGTCCAAAATGAGATGTGCCCTGAGGGTAACATTCACACTGGATATCGAAGACGAGACGTAGTGCGATAAAAAGAACGTAAGATATCTCGTTAATAATTGCCGATACTGAGTACACGTTGAGACAATATTTTGCATATATCTGGTTAAATAAAACACATGAACAAATTTACTTTCACCCCTTTCTTTTTACTTTTTTTTAGCGTGGCTGCTAGAGCATTTAAGCGTACACATGTGGCTCACATTAGTTTCTGTGGAGAGCACCGGTCTAGGGAATTTGCTGTCTCTCCAAGTGGGGGGACATCAGGTGCTGGGGTGCCATATGTTCTGGGGCCAGTGAGCCTCAGGATTTCTTGTGGTGTTCTGGAACATTCCATGTCAGAAATATCTTCAAGCAGAGTGATTGATGCTCATGCCAAACATGTGGCCTCTAAAGGATGCTCTGAAATCCCTGCCTCCACCATACTCAGATGAAGAAGCCTTTTTTTGGGGGGTGAGGAAGATTGGCCCTTAGCTAACATCTGTTGCCAATCTTCTTTTGTTTTTTTCCTCCCCAAAGCCCCAGTACATAGTTGCATACTCTAGTTGTAAGTCATTCTAGTTCTGTGTGGGAGGCCACCACAGCATGGCTTGATGAGCAGTGCATAGGTCCGTGCCCAGGATCTGAACCAGCAAAGCCTAGGCTACCCAAACAGAGCACACGAACTTAACCATTGGGCCACAGGGCCGGGCCCTGAAGAAGCTATTTAATTGAGAGAGACCACAGTGCCACACAAGACTCTGTGGCCACTCTGCATATGGAGTTTATTTTTTATTCATAAATTACATACACGTGTGCCTCTGTTGAGAATGTTATAAAATAAAAACCGACCAAGCTGAGATAACACTCAACACAACCAGATGAGCCAGGCTGCGGTGAGGTCCTCAGTCCAAATCCTGACTCTGCCCACTCCCTGGCTCTGATTCCTTCCATGAGTCGCTTGTCCTCGCTGAGCTTCAGTTTCTTCATCCAGAAACCGGGAGTGTTTGTTCCTATCCCCCGAGGGTTTAGGGGGAACTCAACGGAGGGGACGGTGGAGTTGGACCCGGAAGGATGGAGAAACATCCGCCGGGTGGAGAAGCGTGGGAAAGGGATTCCAGCAGAGGAAACTGAATGTTCACGGTCGGGAGGCTGGACCACGATGCGTGTGCAAAAAGGCAAGCAGTCTGGGGATTATTCAAGGGCTGAGGGCAGGTGTGCTGGGAAAAGGGCGGGGGCGAGAGATGGGGTTGAAGAAGGCAGCAGCGTGAGGCCACCGAGGGCCACGTAGTCAGGGGACTGGAGCCCGAGGGAGCCATTGCAGGCTCTGAGCAGGGGCAAGACCCGACAGGGGCACGTTTGTGGTTTAGCAAGATCCTTCTGGATGGGAGGAAGTGAGGCTGGGGCAGGAGACCAGGAGGGTCTCAAGGCATCAAGCAGGGAGAGGGAAGAGGGACAACATACGAAATCTTTAAAAGATAGAATGAGAAGAGGGATGGGCTATGGGAGGGGAGGGGAAGAAGGCATCCAGGAGGAGGCCCAGGCCTCTGGTTCAGGAGACAAGAGTCAGTGATGGGACCGTGCCTGAGCTGGGGATCCGGGAGGAAGAGGCACAGGAAGGAAGCTGTTGAGGTCAGGGTGAAATCCTGGGGGACATCCAGGGGGAGGCTTCCCAGAGCGGCCAGACACTTGGGTCTTGAGTGCAGAAGAGATGGTGGGGCTGAGACTGGGAGGCAGTCAGAGCTCAGACAGGGTTGAAAGCGTGACAGTGGGAGGAGAACAGTGCAGTAAGGTAACCTCACCATCAGCCGGTGATGACTGTGGAATGTGGCCCTGCCGGGGAAGGCAGCCTCGGCGCCCAGGTTCCCATCCCGGTCTGTGCCTGGGGACACGGAGATGAGCAGACCCAGAGCCCCCAGAGGACTGCCTGCCCAGTGAGGGAGACCGGATGCACACAAGCAGTCCAGGCCTCTACAGGGGCAGTGTATGGCGAATGGGGGCTTTAGGGGGTGTGGGGATCCATTCCCAAGGACTAAGGGCAGTGGAAAGTGTCAGGACCAGTTCCCAGGGAGGCTTGGAGAGAGACAGTGAATTAATCAGGAGTCTCTCTGCTTTAACTGGCTTAGGGAAATGTACTGGATCTTGTTTAAAAAAGGTCAAGGGGTAAAAACAGCTTCAGTCACAGCTTGATCCAGGAGCTCAAATGATGATATAACGCCACTGTCCCATCTCTGGGTTCTATATTTCTCTATTTTTTCCTCAGGAAGGCTTCCCCTGAGGCAGCAAAGATGGCCCCGGCAGCTCTCAGCTCACATCCCACCCTCTTAACAACTCTAGAGGGAAAAAAGGTCTCCCGCCCAATGGTTCTCTCACTCACTAGCCCCACTGGGTCACACGCCCACCTCTGAACCAATCACTGTCATCAGAGGACAGAAGAACTGGAATGCTCTGGTTGCTTGGGCCTGGATCATGTGCCCCTCCCTGGAAAAGGAGGATGGGGTGAGCCCCAAGACAACCAGGTGAACTGAAATTTAAAAAGGAGAGGTTTCCCAAAAGACAGCAGAAGGCCTTGGAAGCCACAGACGCCCAGGTGGCTGGGAGGAAAGGAAGGTGGGGACACAGGTCTCCACGTCTGTTCATGGGGGAGAAAACAATACTTCACCTCTTAGGTCGAGGGTGAAGATTCAGTGAAATAATGCAGGTAAGGCATTTAGCAGACCGCTGGGCAAAGAGCAGGTGCTGGATAAATAGCAGCGATTATTTTTTAAATAGTAATCGATATTACTACTGCTGCTGATGAATGGTATCTACATGCCGGGAGGTAACGAGCTCCCAAGCACAGGATGGAACCAACTCGAAGCTGAAGGATCCCGCTGTGAAAGCTCTTGCAATCTACGCTCTGCCAGCTCAGGCCCCCGCTGCTTCCTCTCCAGATCTATGAAATGGGACGAGGGATTGAATTAAACCAGAAAGTCGTTTGAGATGCCCTTTCTCATCACTCGGGTTGCAGTTAAGTGTCACCTCCTCCGACAAAGGCCTTCCCTGCCTACTTTTACCAAAGTCTCCCCTTTGTGATAATTTATCATCCCGGTTTCCTTTCCTTACAGCGCTTATCACACTCGGAAATCATCTCATCATTGACTGTCTGTCTCCCCCATGAGAACGTCAGTCCCAGGAGGGCAGGGATCTGTCTGTCTGTCCACTGCTGTGTCCCCATCACCTAACACAGTGCCTGGCACACAGCAGACCCTTGGTAAACATCTGTAGAACGACTAGAGAAATATTACGAATAACAACAAATCGTGCCTAGTTTTCCGCTAGGTAGTGAGTTCTCCATTCAGGGAAGTGTCCAAGCGGAAGCCGAACGAGCGTACCTTGCAATCCACGCTGCAAGGCCCCCACCCAGTTCCGCTCCCGGCCTCAGTTTCCTCCTGGAGAAAACGGGCGTGCGGAGGGATGGACTCCTGGTCCAGCTCCCGCCTGCAATCCCCGCGGGGGCCGCCAGGGGGCGCGGCGCCTCCGCCCAAAAGTCCGCCATCGGTGGACACGTCCCGACGTTCCTGGAACATTCTGCGCCCCGCCGGCTTCCAGGCGCCCGGGAGCCGGAGATGCTCGAGCGGATGCAGAGCGTCGCGAGCCGGCGGCCGCACTCCTCGCCGCGCGGGGGAGCGGGCGGGGGTGACTCAGGCGCGCGCGCGCTCGCGGCTGCAGTTCTCGCGAGGGGGAGGTGGGGGCGCGCGCGGCCGCAGTTCTCGCGAAGGGAGCGCGCGCGGCCGCAGTTCTCGCGAGGGGACGCGCGCGGCCTCGCGAACCCGCGCGGCGCCGCGTCCATTTTTACCCGAGCGCGGCTAAAAATAGTCACCGCGCTCGGAGCGGAGCCCGAAATAGCGGCCCCCAGATAAGGCAGGACGACTCAGCGCTTCCGGGGAGCGGAAGGGGAGGCAGCGGGGGACGGGGGGTGGTGCCGGGCGCCGCCGGGCCCCGCGGCGCAGCCCCCACCCCGCCCCCAGCCAGGCCCACTGCGCCCCCAGCCCACGGCCCCCAGCCTCGCGTTGTCCCCCCGCCAGCCCGCCGCGTTCCGCATGCCCTGGCCTCTCCCCCGCATCCTCAGCCTCCCCTCCATCCTCATCCCTGACCATTCCTCCCCCACCCTGCCCTAATCTTCCTTCCCAGCCCGGCCCCCCCGCACACACACTGGTCCCCAACTGGTGTCCATCCCCATCCCTCATCCTCCCCATCCCAGAGCCCTGTCCGTGTCCCCCCCACCGGCAGCACCGACCTCCTGCCTTTCCGAATCTGCCTCTGCGCCCTGCCCCCATCCCAGTCTTCAGCCCGGCCTCTGGGGCGGGGGATGGGGAGGTCACAGGAAGTCACACGCAGAGCGCGTGGGGTGGGGGGGTGGGGATGAGGCTCTGACTTCTTGGTTTGTTTCTACAGCGGACAGGGTGGGCTTAGGTCTGGGTCTGGGTCACTTTCCTTCTCTTGGGCCCGGGGTTGGGGCTCAGGCTGCGGACAGACACGGGTCTTCTGGCCCCAAGTTTGGGGTCTCTGTGTCCCCAGAGTCAGGCTCAGCCTGGCTCCTGCTGTTTTGTTCACCAATCCGAATTCCACTATGATTCTTGCCTCCCTTGCAAGTCAGTGATTGGACAGAACAGCTCCAGGCAGTGGGAACAGCCAGAACCCTCCTCTCCCTGGGCCTGGGTCCCCGCTTTGCACTCGGGTTTTCGAAGGCACCTTCCCATTCTGACATCCTGTGATCTTTCACCGCCTAAGGATCAGTCTCGAGGATCGCACGCCACATTTTTTCAAGGTTCAAGGGCAACACGGTGCATCTTTTAGTCTCTGAAATGTCACAGGCCAGAGGAACTGCCATGTCCTCTGTGGCCTCAGGGACCCATGGTGGTTCCGTGAACATGCAGGCAGAACTGCGGGGCTGTGGGTGGAAGGCGACTTCAAGTGGTGCTGAGGCCCCCGTCCCTAGAGGACATAAGCTTCAGCCAGGTGTCCAGTTGTCATGTTTGGATGGCTGGGGGCTCAGCCTCCGGGCAAAGAGATTGAGCTGGAGGGTCCTTCAAGGCAAGAAGAATCATGTCGTTGGATCACGGGAGGCTGGAAAAGTCAGTACGGACCAGACCAAACTGGGCCCCATGGGCTGTGGAGAGGAACCTGGACTAGTCCCCCGAGGGCACTGGGGAGCCATGGCAGGTTCTGAGCAGGGGAGGGACAGGGGCAGGGTTATGCTTTTGTAAGACCTTTCTGGGGGCCTTGAAGAGGGGAGGAGGGAGAGGAAGAGCCTGGACCTAGGGAGGAGTATGAGGAGGGGAAGAGGGCAGATCTGAGAGACTGTCAGGAAGCAGGAAAGACCAGAGTTGGTGGCTCAGAGGCTGTGAGGGGAAGAAGACAGCCGGGATGAAGCTCAGGGCCCGCCAGGCGGCACGTGGATGGTGGGGTCATCCCCGAGATGAGGCCCAAGAGGAGGAAGGAGCAGGTGTGGGTAGAGGATGCCCAGATAAGGTTCAAAGTCAGTCCAGAGATGGTAACTTTTAAATAATAATAAAAAGGTTTTTTATTTTGGAAAAATGTATTGAGAAATACAAAAGAGTATACCTTGAAAAAGTAAATTTCTCTTGTCCCTCTGATCCCACTTCTCACTGTTAACTATTTCTTGTGTACTCTGGCCAGTAGGATTCATTAGGCTGTCACAGTGTCCCGGCTTGTGCTAAGCCCATCACAGACGTGACCTGGCTCACGTCGCTCCATCCAGCGTGGGGGCCAGGCACCACTGCTGTGCCCATTTTAGAGAAGTGAAAACAGGCTTGAAGAGGCGCAGGGATGGGTCCTTTTGAGGGCCTGACTTTGAAGGCTTTTCCCAATTGACAGCACGGGAGAGGGTCAGATCAGAGAGGGAAGGTGCAAAAGGCCAGAGCCCAGGGAACTGGAGGGGGCAGTGGAGAGTTCAAGGAAGGCTGCCTGGAGGAGGAGGAGGAGGGTAGCCAGGAAGGTGCCTTCCAGAGCCTTCTGATGAAGGATTTGGATGGAAATACATCACTCCCTTTGGGAGGGGGGCTGAGGTACCACTGGCAGCAGGGGCAGGGTCCCCTCCTCAGCCCACAGGGCCCCGGACGTGTTCATAGGCGATGAGGCTGCTTGATGACATCTCAGGGACTCGGTGACAGCACAGCCGGCTGTTATGACGTCTGAGTGATTCGCCAAGTGCCTGTTACGACCAGCCTCTCTAGTCATGCCCTGTGGTGGGGGGGGGGGGATGAGGATAGGAGGAAGTGACAGGCCTTGGGGGTGGGGGGCGACAGGGATGCAATCATGCAGAGACCAGGGACTTCGGAGCTGAGCAATGATTTCTGGCCCCGCCACTACGGAAGGGTCTCCCAGAGGTTGGGTGTGAGGCTCCATCTTCCGAGGCTGTGCCTAGTGAAGGAGGTCTGCCTTCAGGGAGCTGTGGCTGGGGTGGAAGCAGTCTGGGCTCAGAATCAGGGGCCGGCCCAGGGGCTGCTGGGATCAGGGACCTCTGTTTTATCCACTGTTGTGTCCCCATCACCCAGGACAGTAACTGGCACACAGGAGGGGCTCAGTACATCTTTGTTGAGTGAATGAATCAAATGAAAGAGGTCAGCACTCCCCGAGACTCAGTTTACCCTCTTGACTAACAGCGTGGCCATCAGGTCGCGTCAGCCAAAGGCGACGCTAGGGTCGCCTCCCCATCCTGGGTCTCAGATCCCAGTCCTCGCTTCTGCAGTGGGATGGGGGGTGAGCAAGAAAACGAGTTCGCGCCTCTGGTGGGCTCCGCCCCCTTGTAACGTCACGAGCCTCTCTGGGATCCCGACCCTCGTCCCTCCCTTGGGATGGGGCATCCCTAGGAACCCGGGAGTCCTGGTCCAGCCCCTCCCCTGGGCCCGGCAGCATTACATAACCCGACGTCGTGTCTCCAGGGATGTCGCCGGACGTCCTGGCCAGGCCGGGGACAATGGGCAGGGAGTGCCCCTCCCTCCGGGAGCCTGGAAGTGGCCAGGGCGCCCCCTCCTCTGATTCACCCCTGTTTCCGGCCCGATTCAGAGTCCTCCTTCTCCTCAGGGGTCCTCCTCTCCCCCTAACTCTCTCCCCCCACTTCCTGTACCCCCTGCCGTTCCGCTTCTTCCTCGACCCTGCAAAGATCCGTCCACTACACCCCGCCTCCCCAGACTCCCGTCACTCGTCATTCCCGAGTCCCCTAAACTTCCAGTGTCCCCCGCCTGCCTTCACTCACCCATCCCAGGGCCCCTCTTCCCGCTCCCCACCTTCCCACCGCCGCCCCATCTCCTCCCCTGGCTGCCCCAACTTCCCCCATGACCTCAGTCTTCCCCAAACCCCACCCCCTCCCTCTAACTGACCTCTGATGTCTCCTTCGTCCCTAATCCCAGCCCCCCAGTCCCCTGTCGTCTTCCTCAAGCTGACCCCGTATCCCGGCTTCATCCCCCCGATCACGTCCCCGGTGCCCGCTCCTCCCGGACAGCCGCCCCGGCCCCTCCCCGCCCCCAGGCCCGGGCGGCCCGCGCGCCTCCCCGCCCGCTCCCACGCCGGCGCGGGTTCCCAGGCCGCCCCCCCGCGGTGGCCCAGAGACCCAGTTTGCGGCTGCAAAACATTGGTCTCCGGGCAACAGGCCCCGCCCGCTCCGGGGCCGCCCGGTGTGCGAGCCCTGCAGCGCCGCCGGGGCCGAGACGGCGCGGAGGCCGCCGGAGACCTGCAGGGCGCAGCGACCCGGGGACCGAGGGACAGCAGCGCGGAGAGAGCCGGGGCCCCGGAGCAAGATGCGCGGAGAAATTCGCGGAGGCTGAAGCCGCGGGGAGCTGTCTGGGCCGCAGTGATAAAGAGACCAGGCCACAGAGCGAGCAAGCACGGCCCCGGAAATAAACACAGAGATAGTGACATTAAACACGGACAGCCCCGGGCCCGCAGGGACGCCCCTGAACCAGGACAATCTACCTCTGGTGGCCAGGGCCTCTGCCCTCTGTCCCAGGGACTGCCTCTCTCTGACTCAGTTTCCGCATCTGTAAAATGGGTAGCGGCTTAGCAGACAAGGCCTTTGTGATAATTAAGTGAATTCGCTGACCTAGAGCTCCTAGCACAATTCCTGGCACGGACCATTCATTCATTCGTTCATTCAACAGATATTTAGTGAGGACCTACTAGGTGGCAGGCCCTGTGGTAAGAGCTGGCGTACAACAGTTAACAAGACAAAGATCTCTGTCCTCCAGGGAGCTTACACTTTGGGAGTGGGGAAGCGGGTGATGAACGACGTATGAACATAAATGAGGAAATCGTGGGGCGGACGGGGTGGCGTAGTGGTTAAGTTCCCACACTCTGCTTCAGTTGCCCCGCTTCGAAGGTCAGATCCCAGGCTGACCTACGCACCACTTATCAAACCACACTGTGGCAGCGTGCCACATACAAAACAGAGGAAGATTGGCACAGATGTTAGCTCAGGGCCAATCTTCCTCACCATAAAAAAAAAAAAGTGCAAATTGTATATCACGTGGGAAAGGAACGAGCCCTGGGGAAATGGACAGGGAGGGAAGGTTGGGGTTGCTGTTTGCAGTAGGGCGGTCAGGGAAGGCCTCTACCAGAAGGTGATGTTTGAGGGAAGATGGGAAGTTGGGGAGGGGGAAGCCATGCAGAGATCTATGCTAAGAGCATCCCCGTGAGAGAGCGCAGGCAAGTGCAGAGTCCATAAGGTGGGAACATGTCTCAGGTGTTGGAGGCATGGGGAGGAGGCCAGAGTGGCTGGAGGAGAGAGAAGGAGGGGAGGGGAGGGGCAGAGACAAGGTCAGAGAGAGTAAGGGCAGACGGTGCGGGGCCTTATGGACCAGGTGAAGCCTTTGACGTTTACTGAGTCAGGGAGCCACGGGAGGGTTTTGATCCAGAGAAGGACACAAACTGATTCTAATCTTCACTCCATCCCTCGGGCTGTTTGTGGGGAATAGACTTTGGGAGGCAAGCGGGGGAGGCAGGGAGAC